AAATTTGATGGCGTATGTAGCATCTTCGCTGGACGCGTAAGTATTCAGCCCATTGGAACGCATTAACTGGGTTTTAGTTAGATAGATAGATAGATAGATAGATAGATAGATAGATAGATAGATAGATAGATAGATAGATAGATAGATAGATAGATAGAATGTTCTTAGAAGGAGTACTCCCATAAGAAGAACATGACCACCTGATTCTAATATAATGTCTCAGTCTATATTTTGCAAATTAGCTAGCTAGGTTCTCTCCCCCTCCTTTTTTCCTTTGGTAGTTGGCTATGGGGAGATAAGCATGACTTCATTTTCAGGTCCGATTTCTTAAGCACTCAGTTGGAAAGGTTTCCATGCCTGGAGGGAATATGTTGTAGGAAGAATGATCTGTGAGCTGGCCTCTGTATACAAGCTGGTCAACTTGGTTGGAAGAAAACCTGAACAACATTCAAGGTGATAACTTTCCCCTTCCTTTATTTATTTATTTTGGCAGCTAAATGGGAGAGAAAACAATGGACCCATTGCTCTTCTTCCTAACCGTGCTGCTCTTTGTTGGGACCCAAAGCTGCCCTGAGGTCTGCAAATGTGTAGCCAAGAAGAAATATGGCCGCCACATTGCAGACTGCTCTTACAAAGAACTCCAGGCTGTCCCTGTTGGCTTGCCTTCCAATGCAACGACCCTCACCCTGTCTGTCAATCGTATCACCTCCTTGAGAGTGGACTCCTTTGAGGATCTCGTAGACCTGCAAGCTCTGTGGCTGTCATATAATGAAGTTAGTAATATTGCCAAAGGGACTTTTGCTTTCCTGGTGCAGTTGCGGGCCATCGATCTCAGCCACAATCGGATAACGGACTTCCCCTGGGGAGACCTGTCCAACCTCACAGCTCTGCAGCAGCTCAAGCTGAGCAGCAACCTCCTGGAGAAGGTTCCATCAGATGCCTTCCACACCTTGAAGGACTTACGGTCCCTCTGGCTCAGTGACAACCAACTTGCGGTCCTCTCCGAAGGGACCTTCGACTCCATGCCTCTGTTATCCCTGCTCCAGATCAGCCACAACCCTTGGAACTGCTCCTGTAAGATCTGGTGGTTGAAGGCATGGATGGAGAACACCTCGGTGATACCAGAAAAGGAGTCCATCACATGTGCCGCCCCTGAACGTATGAAAGGTCTCGTTTTTGGAAGATCCCTGCCAATGGACTGCATGCGTCCATCAGTGCAGGTGGTTTATCATTCCAGCCTGGGCAGTAGCATCTTGCATGGTGGACTCAGCATCTTGTTGCACTGCACTGCGGTGGGGAAGCCACCCCCGGAAATTAGGTGGAAAATCCAGACGTCCTCTCAAAATGTAGCTATCAATGGGCCAAACATAGAAGAAGGGAACAACTCGCTTGCCGACGTGACCTCTAAGCACAGCAAAGGAATGCACTTTCTGGTTTTCAAAAATGGCTCCATGGTCATCTCCAAGTTCAGCAAGGCCGACGAAGGCATATATACCTGCCAAGCTCTGAATGATGTCGGGTCTCGGGAAGAGTCCGTCAGTATAGCCTTGGCTAGTTCAGAGAATCCTGCAGATCAGCTCAAGAACAACATGCAAGCCAGCAAGCCCGAAAGCAAACCTTGTGATAGAGAAGAGCACTCAAAATCTGAAGAGAAGATCGTGGTCCTCTACCTTCCTCCTATATTGCCTAAAACCAGTAGCAGTGTACGAGTGCTGTGGCCTTGGGCAGCCTTGTTGCTGTCTTCCCTGCTTGCTCTTTGTAGCTAAACATATCTGTAATCCACTGTCCAGTAGAAATATAGTACAGTGGTGCCTCGCACAACGAGTGCCTCACACAACGATAAATTCACACAACGATGGCTTTTTCTGAAAAATTTGCCGCCTCACACAACGATGTTTCCTATGGGGAATTTTTGCACAACGATGTCTCTTTTCACTCATTTAAAAGTGCCTTAAACTGTTTGAAACTTGTTTTAAATGCTTGGCATCAATAGTCCAGCTTGTGAAACATAAGCAAACTTAATTTGGTATTGTTCTGAGGCGTCGTTAATTTTTGGTGAATTTTTTTCTCTCTCATTGAGAAGCACCAATGGCTTTCAATGGAGAATAAAAAAATTCACCAAAAATTAATGAAGACTCAGAACAACACCAAATTAAGTTTGCATAGGTTTCAGGAGGTGGGCTAACGATTGCAAGCATTTAAAACAGGTTTCAAACAGTTTAAGGCACTTTTACAGGAGCGAAAAAGGACTTCGCAAACCCATTCAAATGCATTGAGTCGGCTTCAATGCATTTCAATTGGGGAACCGCGTTTCCCTCAACGATGTTTCCTATGCCGATTTTCACTTAAGGACGGCAATCCGTTCCAATTGGAACGGATTAACCGGTTTTCAATGCATTCCTATGGGAAATGGTGTTTCACAGAACGATGTTTTCACAGAACGTTTTTTTTTTTGAACCAATTAACATCGTTGTGCGAGGCACCACTGTACTATGTTTATCAGAGGCAAGGCTGAACTATAAAATCAAGGGATGCTGTTTAAACAACACTGAACAGAGTAAGGACTCTACATCCAGTTGCTTTGGGTACTGTAGTCCAAAATAGTAACTTTTCTGAGAACTTCCATTAGTGCAAGTGGGAGAAATCAGCATAAAAATTGTCATTATTTTGCCAAAGGCTGAAGACCCAGAAAGAACAACACTTCAGAGCAGCACAGAATATAGTACATATTACACAATATACAACGCTTTATACAATATATGCAACCAACATGATAGAAGCCAGATCACATTCCAAACCAAACATTTAAAAGGAAAATGTCTAGACAAGAGGCAAGAAATGATCAACAAAGGCCTTTGTGGTTTCATGGCTGCCTCATTGATGGACTTTAAGCAAAAAAGACACAGCATGGGGATTGCGCTGTTCAAATGTTTCCTTCGAGTGTTATGATTTATGCAGATTGTTATATGGTTGTTCTTTTAAGTCATCTTTCATACTATTGTACAACAGTTATGTATTTTGTAATTAAAAGAAAATGAAACAATTTTTTTGTTTTTTTTAATTATGCAGCAATTAATAGGAAAAATACAGCAATTAATAAGAATTTTTTTCCTATCTAAGGCAATGGCCAACATGACACCCTTCCTTTTCATGTACAACAGCGAATTAGATTGATGGCTGAAGCTCCTTTTAGCATGGACAAGGGGAAAGCATGGTACGAATAAGGATGTGCCAGACCAAGCCTTCCACAATGCTTATAAGGCTGAAGGCTAAGTTCGAGGTCCCAGCGTGGCAAACAGCTCCATCATCTTGCTTTCCATAGATTGGTGTCCGCTGCCTGAGACTGCAGCTTCAATTTTCCTCATGGCAGAGCTAGCCCTGAAAAGAAATATAAAGCTGCCTAAGATACCTTTAGACTGTGCTGGATCATTGGTCAGTGACGGTGATTCCTGTTTCCAAGGTATTGTGAAACCACTCCAGGTTTTAGTGTGCACTTTATAAGAGCTATCCAAAATGATGAACTTATTGTAGGAAAATGGCTTAGCACCTTGGATAACGTGACATCAAGTCACCTCCAACTTATGGCAACCCTATCAATGAGTATTCTCCAAAATGTTTGGTAAATAATTCTCTTGCTCTGCAAACTTAAGGCTGTGGCTTCCTTTATGGAGTTTATCCATTTCATCTGTTGTCTTCCTCTCTTCCTTCTGCCTTCAGCTTTTGCTAGCATTATTGTATTTTTCAGAGTCTTGTTTTCTCATGGTGTGCTGAAAGTACAACAGCCTCAGTTTCATCATTTTGTTCTTTGAAAGGAAAGACTAAAACCTGAACTAAAATCACAGCACTTGCCCACCCTGCCCCAAATTAGACTCACCAGCCATCACTCTCATTATTTCATGTTTGCCTAACGGCTGTCCAGAATCTGATATGGCAAACTCTGCCAGTCACGGATCTTTTGCTGCCTTGCAGCAAAACAAGTCAAAACAACTCTGGGAGGGAGATGGGTCTCCACAAGGGTAGACGGTATAGGTTGTTCCTCCCCAGTGGTCTCTGAGGTGAAAAGAGAGAGAAGCACTTTCTATTTCGAGGTTTATTCAATGATTTTTTCCTTTTTCTGATTGTTTTTGTGCAAATTAAAGTAATTTCTTTTAAAAATTAAACAGAAAAAAAGAAAAATTTAAAAACAAATTCAGAAAAGAGGTAGGGTGAGAATGGAGCAGAGCATGACTGACTGGAATCCTGAATTAGGGTAGCTTCTGGAACAAGTTGTTACAGATCGCATGTGTATACAGTATTTGATTATAAGGAAATTTAGCAAAGTTCTGAAAAGAGGTAGGGTGAGAATGGAACAGAGCGTGACTGACTGGAATCCTGAATTAGGGTAGCTTCCGGAACAAGTTGTTACAGATTGCATGCATATATTTGATTATAAGGAAATTTAGCAAAGTTTTTTTTTAAAAAAAGAATTTTCCAAAGGATCCAGATTTCTTCATCCTCTGAATGAACTGTAAGGCAGAATCCTTTTGAGGAGGAGGAGGAAGACACAAATGCCAACCTCCAGCAGCTCACTCACCTTCTGTCTGTCTGTCTGTCACATAACTGGTTGTGAAATCTATTGTATAACCTGCCCCACAAATGTCACCCCACTGGAAAAAGAGCAATCAATGTGCGATCGCAGTTGTGTGCATGGGTTTCTGCAAAATAATCCTGGCCCAAGAGTTTGAACTTTGAATATGGAAAAACCACTGTAGCAAAGAACAAAAACAAAACAGACAGGCCCGGAACTTTGAATGTTGACATAACCTTGAAAACATTTTAAAATTTAGGGTGCAGCCTTGGTATCCATCTGTGTTACATCAGAAGTAGGGAGGCCACCTCTGCTGTTTCTCTGAGTCTCCTCAGCTTTAATTCGCATTTGACAAGCAATTACAACGTGGCCCTGTCTGTGTGAGAGGTAGCTACACCTCTGGATTCCGTGCGTGTGGATAGGGGAACTTTTCATTTCTGTTCATCTAGGGAGAATCTGCCCACTCCTGCCTCAGCGTCATGAAAGACCTGCTCGTTTGTTTATTGATATGAATCAACACCACTGCTTGTGTTTGTGGACTGTCCTTGTGGATGTTGCAACAGGGACTGCCATAAAGCGTGTATTCATGTCAAGATTTAACCCCGCATCACTTTCTACAATTACCTGGACATTAGCTTGAGATCTTATTGCTGGCATTTTAGGGTTACAAGTCTTGTGTCATTAATGCCATAAGGGCTGAAATGTGTTAATGGCAATACATGATTCTTTTCTAACACATCTAGAGCCTGTGGCAGACTTCAAATATGCTGCATAGTTTGGATAAGAGATTTGACAGGATTGAAAAACAAAATGCATTTGTGTGGAATACGGGCATTTGATGAATTTTTTGCAAATCCGAATATGGAGTCATCTGATCTGCCCTTCTCCATTTAACACAGAGGTGGGGAACCAGCGGCCCTTCAGTTCTCATAAGCCTCAGTCAGCATGGCCAAGGGTAAGAAATGGTGGGATTTGTAGTCCTGCAAACTTTTATAAACCTAGAAGCTCCCACCTCCTATCTTTGCATTCATTTGGCCAAAATCCCATAGCAGTCATACTGGTTGGAAGCTGGAGCCCAGCATAGCTGAAAAGCAACATCCGGGTCTGTGCATTAGTGCTGGAAATGGCCAGATTGAATTAGAATGGTTATTGTCAAGACTGGGATGTTTAATTCTAATAAACAACTTCCCATTCTTTCAGGAAGTAATTATGTAACCTGCTTTAGCCATCTTTTAGGCTCCCTGCCATAATTCACAGTCATTTGGTTAACCGAGGACAATTCTTTCAAACTGGGTGAGGACCACCTTTCTAGGGAGAAAGCCCACCTGTGAATCAAGCTCAAATAAGAAATTCCCTTGCACCCAGATTTTGGCAGCACAGCAAACTGCTTTTGATGGAGCCTGTTTGTTTTGCCACAGTGTCAGAAATTGTTTATCTGCTGCTGGATACTGGATGAACCACACTTCAGGGTATTAGCAAGATTAAGAATGCACCATATTCATAAATGTGGAACTCCATGATATTCAGAACTCCAAAGGCTGGTGAGGCCGGATTAGCCTCCAGGCTGGGAATGGTAGCCCAAAAAGTAGTTTTTCAAAGCTGTGATTAGAGATCTTGTCATCAGGGATGTTTACCATATTGCCAAGAATCTTTCAAGTTTTTTTTTTTTGAAGCCAGACTTCATAGGAATCCTGTGCCTAAATCCTGAAGATCTATTACCACACAATGCAAGCTAATCCCAAATATGACAGGAGCTCCTACTTTGATACTCAGATGCTTTCATTGGTTAAGAATTTCCCTCTTCTAGTCACGGGCTGTCTCTAACGTCTGTTTCTTAACTAGAGTTGCCAGTCAGAAGCTTCCCATTCCAAGAATGTCAGGGTCAGAATACTGAGCCCAGGAGAAGAGCCTCTGTATACCAATTGCAAAATAAGATGTCTGTATGAAAAAGTCGATTTCCTGCACAATGTCCTAAATACAGGTCCAAACACCATCATGTTGAGCCCATAAGCCCTTCTACTGTCTGGGACCGGTGAGAAGATGGACTCCCAAGCATTAAAACCATCATGCGCAATGCTTACCCTGTGTTTTTTCTCTCCACTTGGAGCGGAGAAAAGCACAGCAGCACCCCACAAATTCAAGCAGTGCCCCAAGACCTGGCAAGCTTAGCTTGTGCGAAAGACATGCAAACAAACACAGACAGTGAGACAAAAATGGGCTCCTGCCACAATATAAGAATGATGGTTTATTATTCTGACCAGGAGAGTTCAACTCTCTGGAAGCTATGATCACTCCTACAGTTGCTGGTTTCTGAAGCACATCAGGCCAACGTTGACTACCAGAGGGCAAGTAGTTGCTACGCAAAAGGGGGCAGGAAGGACAGGAAGATTGAGAACGGGTCCCAATCCATCAAGAAGAAGAGAAAACCAGAAGAGACAACGGGACAGCTAAGCAAGAGTGTGTGCACAGAGAAAAGACTCACACAGGGCCTTCCTCGGGATTCTCAGCCAGAAAGTCTCTGTGTGTGTGTGTGTGTGTGTTTGTGCGTTTGTGTGTGTGTGTAGTAGGAAAGAAGGGCTAGAAGTTTCTTTTTTTGGAACACAGCTGGGAAAAGTTCCTCTTTTAGACTACATCCCCTAGAATCCCCCTGGATGGCAGGTAGCCATTCTGAGAGTAGTGGTCCAAAATTCTAGGATCTGTAGTCTCAAAAAGACACTTTTACAAGCTCTACAGTAACCACGTGATGACCCTTTTAACATTCCTGGCAAGGTTGATATTATTGATCAACAGAATGAAATATTTTTTTTCTTTTTCTGTTTATAAGTTTCAACCTTCAGACCATCCAATTTATACCCAATGGCACAAAACTATTATTATGTAGCCTGTTAAAGAAATGGAGTCATTAAACGTGCAGCCTGGAATGGATTGGACTGAAATTTAAAAGGCAAACCAAAAGATTGCCTGAAGGAAAGTTGGTCCAGAGAACTTAATTTTCTCTCTACAGCCTGTCCGTCTCCAAATCCTACCTCAAAGCCCATTGTCCACAGTTCTGGATCCTTCCAGAAAGTCTTGCTTGGTGTGGTCCCAGTCTCTGGTCTGCTTTTGACATCGGTTTCCAAGGCACAGCACAATGGTAAAGCATTGGTGGTGACCTTTTATTTTATCTCCCAAAATCAACCTAGCAAACCTTAGCAAATACATTTCACATCAGGAGAACTAGAAGTCCTCAAACTCTAAAGATCAGCATTGCCGAAAATCTCCTGCATGTGATGAGGCACTGGCTGGGGGGAAAAATTGCAGCAGAGGAGGAAGAAGAAAAATATCTTTGGGTTAACTCAGTGATTTGCTCCCTGCCATTGCTAGTCCACTTCATCTTGTGCCCTTGTGGACGATAGTCCTCAGGGAAGTCGGTCATAGCCTTAAGGTAAGACTACAAAGAGAAGCTCAAGAAAGGTGCATGGAAGAGCAGGCCACAAAGGGGGAGGGGGAGGAATGGCAGAGAGATGAAGAAGCAAAAGCTTCTCCCCATTGATGGAGTTCATTCATCACCAAAATCCCAATCTGTCTCCCATCAAGGTCTTGCCGGACTAACTTGCATCCCATTGGGTGTTTTGTTTGACAGGACCCCCTTTCGATAGGGTAGAAGGGAGGGGTTGTTAAGGAGGGTGTAGGCCAGACTCCAGCGTGCAAGATTCTGCTTTGACTTGGATGCTTTTGATGTTGGCATCGTGGTCTTCATGAGCTTGACTCCTGCCCAAAATGAATGAATGAATAAATAAGTAAATGAATGAACAAATAACAGCAATCTTATGATGAAAATCTGGACTTTGAATAGATTTAGAAGTCCGTTTAGGGCTTCCAAATGTACCCTGATTTGGTCGGCAGTGATCTGTGTTCCATCTGATTCAGCGTCCCAGATCCTGATCAATTTGTCAATTCTTTGGAAAGCCAAAATGGTCATATATTTAATGGTTGTGTTGTGATGTGCATGAAATTTGGACACTCAGTAGAACTTAAAAGTGGGTAGTAAACCTTCCAAATTTCAGGCAGCAAGCTTCAGGAGTTTGCATACTACTTACTCATCACTAAACTTTCTTTATATACACTGGTAGGCGAAAGAGATTTATACCCCATGTGATTTGTTCTGAGCTAATGACACAATGCAATTTGCAAATAAGGTTTAATTTGCTCTGGAACTGCATCTGGCCCTTCTGGTTTGATCCAGACTGCTAAAATTAGTCCAAATCAGATTGATTTTATTAATACTTTTGGATTTTTTTTATAAAGAGAACTCATAAAAAGTTACATAGATAAATTTCCCAGCAATAAAAAAGAGAGCCAACTATCTCAACAGAGAGAGAACAACCTCATACTTATTGGTGTGGTCATTTACACTGCCAATAAGACCTGAATGCTGGATGTGCATTTAAAATATTCAGCAGAGCTTGGAGAAGTTATTTTTGACTACAAATCCTAGATTCCTCCAGCCAAAATGATCAGCAGCCATCCTGGCTGGAGAACTGTGGAAGTTGTAGTCCATAAAGTAACATTCTGGAAGCCATGGACCTTTGGTCTAGATGGGCGGGATAGAAATCCTATAAATAACTAAAAATAAACACAGTCTCAAGTTCTGCTAACTAGAATTTAAATAGGAATACACTAGATCTCATCATAGATGAGGAGAGGAAGTAGTAGAAATAGACAATTCACTAGCTCACTCTGTCATATGGCTGCTAATAGTTGATGAACAACCTCAAGACTTTTTGCTTTTTCCTCTTAGGGTTTTTTTTTAAATCTTTAAGCTATACAGTATATAGACTAGATAGACTTTTGAACTGGGATCAATGTTTGTAAAATAAGTCACTTGGCCAACTCTAGTTCTCATGAAGATGGTAACTCTGTGTTGGGTCTACACCAACTCACATGATGGATAGTGGATAGCATGGAGGAGTCAATTTGATTCATGGCAAGTCTCTTTGGGATTAGCCGGTTTAAACGCTTTCTTTTCCTTTTTTTAAAAAAGGATGTGTATGGCAATTGTTGGAAAGAAGCTAAGGTAGAGTGATACATGCCTCCTGCCCCCCCACCCCATATCTAGCCATTATCTTGGCCAAAATCATGGTGTCTGTAGGTTGAAGACTTTCAGATCCTCTAGAAAACTGCTCAGATACCGCATGTTCTACAGTCTGGCCAAGGATCTTTAGTCTTGTACAGTTTTCCCCAGGCTTAAATAGGAAACATGGTGGCTGTGAACAATGCAAACTGGAAGTCTTGGTGCTTCTGTAAGTTCGAAGCAATGTGATAACACAAAACAACAATGACAGGAACAATGGCGCCTGCATGTCCACATGCAGACCCAGAATGGCGAAGTTAGCAACATCACGTTCCCCTGAGATGTTAGGTCCAAATTACTCCCTTGCAACAATCTCAAGAGGACCTTTGCAATGTCACAGAACTGTACACAACAGATGTAACATGGGTGTGTGTGCATGTGCCCATGAAATGTAGACACTTTATGATCACGTTGAAGGCTACGGTGTGTGAAATCCAGAAGCAGTAGCTCTAGAGCACCCAAGACAATGAAAAAGGGAGGATGTTTCTGGCAGCACCACTCTCAAATCCAAAGCCTGGGATCTGGAGAACCTAAAGCCGGAGTCTCAGCATGAAACCGAACTCCTGCGCCCAAAATCCATACACTTGGCATGACATCAATGTGGAAGAGTAAATGAGGAATCTTCAACACGTGCATAGCACATGGCATGGGTGCAACACATGCAAAATCATGACTGTGGATGGAATGCACCTCTTGAATTTGTGGCCCTCTCCATGCCAGAAACATTATTTGGATCAAGTTAAAGAAGCCTTTGCTTTTCCCCTCCCACCCTGGCCTCCTTCTTTCTCCTGAAGAGTTTATAGAAAGAAGTGATGCCACTGTGTTCCTTCGAGACACAAAGGAGACCCCAGTGGTAGAGAGAAGCCAAGGGTGATTTCTCCAAAGACAGCTCCAAGGGCCATCTTTCCCTCTGTGTTGCTCCTCCTCTTTGCTGAGCAGCTGTATCATTTTCATCTAGCATCTGTGGCCCTCCCTAGAAGGAGGTCAAGGGAGGGAATCGATCCGAGCTGCTTTCTCACCTTCTTCTGCTTCACGTGGCTGGAGTCCCTTTCGCCTTGAAGGACTGTGGGTTTGGAGGAGCAACACACAAAAGGCTTTCATCACCGGGTGGGACTGGCTGACCTCAATTTTTAAGTAGTAACAATATGTGCGATAGCCTGGAAGGAAGTGGGTTTGGGGAAGTTAAAACAAAACAACACAGAAATACATGTAAAATGCATATCGTGCAGGCATGCAGAATGGGTAAACGCTGGGGAGGCAGAGGAAAACAATTGGAAAGGATTCTCCTTTTTCTAATCTTGTCTCCTTCAATTTTTTCTGAAATTAAGTCAATGCAGATGGGAGGAAATATCTTCCAGGTGGAAAATACAGCTCAGATATTCAGGATTAGCTGCATTTAAGGAGATAAAACCAGTCCTAACAAGTGGAGAATTGAGTTTGATTCACATTTTTCCAGAATTTAAAACACACACACACATTTCTCATTTACATTCCCTGAACTAATATGTGGACTGGAAGTGAATAATTTCTTGTCTTGTGGAGTCCCCTGATTTTTACACTGTCATTCCCTGTTAATGTGACATATAATATATATGTATTGTGTCTGTGCGCACACGCATGCACACAAACACACACACACACACACAGATATTAAGGAAAGTTCCCATTTACAATAGATACATTAGGAGAAATCATGTACAAAAATAAAGGTAAGTTTTCTTTGGTGTGTGCTTAAAAAACATGTTGCCACCTGACAAAGGGGGTGGGTGGGATTTATAACTGTCAATACTTGATTTTATTTTTATTATAATTTTCTGTCTCCCCATCTTGATCGTTACTTAGCATTACTAATCACTATTGTTTTGAATTGTTTTTAACTGTTTTAGTTTACAATGTTTAATGGAACCCGCCCAGAGTAGACTTTGTCTAAAAGGGTGGGATAGAAATCTAATAAATAAATAAATAAATAAAATAAAATAAAACTGAACAGTGTGAAATTGACCAGAAATAGAAAAATTCAGCAATTGCTGTTAACCTCTTCTTAACTAATTTTAGGGAAATCCAAGCCGAATATCCAGCCGAGAGCCTTCACTTGCGAACCAGTCAGTGCTGGGCAAAGTAAATCAGATACTGTTTGGCCCGTGTATTACATGCTGGCCCCAGAGTCATTTGATGGCTCCCAGAGGCTTCCAGAATTTAAGGAGAAAGAATCGACGAAAAATTGGTTCCCTCCAAAACCGGGGCATCACTTCTCCCCTAAAACATACAGCTCTTTTTAACAACAACAACAAAAAAATCAGATTCAAATGTGACCTTCCAAGTTCTCGCCATTTTCAATCTGAAGGGCAGTACAGTATGTCCCTGAGAGGGTTGATAAAGGTAAAGGTTCCCCTTGACAATTTTTGTCCAGTTGTGCCCGACTCTAGGGGGCGGTGCTCATCCCCCTTTCCAAGCCATAGAGCCAGCGTTTTTGTCCAAAGACAATCTTCCGTGGTCACATGGCCAGTGCAACTTAGACACAGAACGCTGTTACCTTCCCACCGAGGTGGTCCCTATTTATCTACTCGCATTTGCATGCTTTCGAACCGCTAGGTTGGCGGGAGCTGGGACAAGCGACGGGCGCTCACTCCGTCACGTGGATTTGATCTTACAGCTGCAGATCTATAGACCTTACAGCGGCTTCTGCGGTTTAACCCGCAGCGCCACCACGTCCCAATGAGGGTTGAGGGGCTAGTAAAACACCCCTCTTATCCAGCCCTAGCTTAGGGCCATCGTTGAAAGGGGGATTGTCTCTAAATTTAAACAAAATGATTTGTTTTGGCACTTCTATAGGGTTCTTAAACTTGATACAGTTTAGGGCTTTGCTTGTCTCCATTCAGTTCTGAAACCACCGCTCCTAGCTCCCCACATGCCTCATTTGCTTGGTGTAATCAACACTACAGAACATTTAACTGCTCTGAATTATCTGCCCAATTAAAAACAACAGTTTTCAATCGGGTTTCTAATTTATTGTGATCCAGAATTTTTCTCCCGAGGTGAAAAATGTTATTTTAAAAATATCATTAACAGCACGGCTTTGATGTCTGAGGACATGGAGGCCAATTTTGAATAAACTCAGCCAACAACAGCCGCTTAGGCAAAAGTTTATCGCTGCAGAAAGCATGCCATCGTTTATGTGATCATTGCTGCCGGCTCCAATCCAAGGGTCACCATCCGGAAGAGCGAGCCATGTGAGGCATAAGGAAAGGAAGTAGGCAGACTGGATGTACGTCACCTGCCTGGATCGAAGACCTCAACGCCGTGGCCCAGGAGGCTCACGTCCAGACGGCAGAAGTGGACAACATTGTAAAGCGCAGACACCACCAATCTCCAGACTCCTGCCAAGACCCCTATTAGCACGTTGATTGGGAAGAGCAAGTATGTCACGATGTACAGAGCACGCCTACAGACAAGGAGACCAAAGACAGCCAAGATTTAAGTACTGTTGTTTCATTACTTAGCTTTTACTTAAGAGTAATGGTTGGAAGTGTCAGCCTGGGTCTGGGGAGAACCAGATTCTAGTCCCTATCAGGAAACTCGTTGGGTGAATCTCTTGTTCTCTCTGTGTGACCTACCTCAAAGGATTGTTGAGAGCATAAAATGTGGAAAAAGAAAGCTGTGGCTGCATTTATATCCAGCCTTTCCTCCAGTGAACTCTAGGTGGTGTAAATGGATTTTTCATCTCCCTGGAGAAGGGCTGACTTCAAAAGCTGCCTCCTTCATTCAAACAAAATGTTATTAAGGTTGCCATCTCTTTTCTTACATGTGGTTATGTAAAATGGGGGTGGGGTGGGGGCTGGAAGGAGATCGGGTTCTTTCCAATTGATTGACAAGGATGACCGTCTGTTGGCTTCCTTCTTTCCTTAAACACAGACCTTTTTGCGGTGGGTTACAATGATTAAAAAGTGACTACAAGAAACACACCATTAGAGAGCCTGCTGCAAAGGAAAAGCCTTCCACTGGTGATGAAAAGTGGAAGACCCAACTGGAGCTCAGAGAGGGAGGACATCCCTCAGCTGCGGGGGGGGGGGGGCTACTGCAGATAAGGCCCTGCCATGACTTATAAACCTTTCAACCTCTGCCAGTGGTGGCAGCTTCAGGGGGATGTCAAAAGGGGAGTGGATATCATAAATCCAAATCAAAGGCGAGAAGGAGTCCTCTCCAGCAGGTGAGTTTTCAAGAATTCTTATCTCTGCTGTGTGAGGATTGCTGTTCTTCTGAAACCAGGTGTGGCCTACACATGACTCGGCAGCTTAGATTTCATTGCTTGCATAGAGGCAGGTTGGTATTCCCAGGTAAACAAGGCTTGCTGCTCCAATGGGCAACCTAAGTGACAACATCATACCAGTCTCATATGTTTTAATGGGCCGATGGGTGCCGGACGTTACCTGTTGGTTAGCTCCTTGGGTTCACAGCCATGCTCAAGAAAACAGTAGTGCGTCAGCAGGTTCTGTGCAATCACAGCCACCACCAAGGTCAGCCAGAAGGGCCTAAGTGAAAGCAAAGGGAAAGAAGGGCATGTTTCACTCCCTGTCACTTTGTTCTATCATCAGGCAAACAATCTAGAATTGCCCAAACATACTACGTACAAGGAAAGAGGTGGAGCCTCACAATAGGAAAGGTTTCACCCAGGAGTGGGCACCTTGGGTCAGACAGCCGGCCATCATTCTCCCACTGCCATCATCCCAAAGTGCTACACCAAGCTGGGAAGTGCCCCCAAGTGGCCAAACAACCAGGAAACACACATACACAAACAGGAAGTAATTGAACATTCGCTTCTGGTTCTGATCTTTGGATTGGCGTTTTCTTATGGGCTTAAGTAAAGGTTCCCCTTGACATTTAGTCCAGTCGTGTCCAACTCTAGGGCGTGGTGCTCATGCCTGTTTCCAAGCCGTAGAGCCAGCGTTTGTCCAAAGACAATTTCCGTGGTCACGTGGCCAGCGTGACTAGACATGGAACACCGTGACCTTCCCACTGAGGTGATACCTATTTATCTACTCACATTTTTACATGCTTTCTAACTGCTAAGTTGGCAAGGAGCTGGGACAAGCAATTGGAGCTCACTCCATCATGTGGATTCGATCTTACGACGGCTGATCTTCTGACCTTGCAGCACAGAGGCTTCTGCGGTTTAACCCGCAGCGACACCACGTCCCTATCTTATGGACGTAGGGGGTCCTTAAAAACAGACTTCAGGACCTGGTTTCATCGGAGGGACGGCAACCCTGATATCTTCCAAATATTCTGGACTGCCACAACCAAAATCTCTCAATACTTGTCCATAGTCTTTAATGGGATCAATCATCTCTACCAGGTTCCCCAGCTCAGTTTATTTCTTCCTAGGGCTGCTACTTTAAAGAAGTAAGACTGGCAACCAAATGGTGTTTTGTGTCATGTTAAAGGAAAGAAAGGCAACTTGTGGCCCTTCAGGGATATTTGGACTTCAACGCTCATAATCCCTAGCCAACACAGTCAATAGTGAGGTATTATGGGAGTTGTAGTTTTAAGCAGAGGGCCTAAGTTGTTTAGACTTGGAGTAGAGAGATGGAGAACAGCCAAATGCTGCTTCTCATCCTAAAGCCCAAGGCTACCACTGTGCAGAAATACACAGAATCATGGCTTAGCGCTTACTTTTTCCACGGGAATTTGTAGTTTTCCCCCCCCCGGTGCCTTAGTTGCAGACAAAACGTTGGCCCTGTCAGCCCTCGTGCCTGAGCCCCAAGGATTCTTACCACATGTTCTCCACAATCTTGAAGAGATGTACGTTGCTGCCAGATTGCAGGGGGATCACTACCAGAAAAGTGAACCCGACTGTGCAAACGAAGAGGATGATTTGCTGAATGAGCAGGCCTGGGATGCAGGAAACAGAATTACCAAAACAGCCACCTATAATCCTTATTCACTATTGTTTGTATTTGTAGCATTATTATTCCTGCCTCAGGCTAAAAAAAAAAAAATGATAACCAAAATTCATCTGAGTTGTTCATGTTTCCTTTAGTGATGGCATGGTGCACCCATAAAAGAGCTCAAGGGAGACTCAGCATGCTCAGTGCACAACTTGGCAAGCTACTTGGGGTGCTACAGTTTGCAAAACCCTTAGTGAGGAGGGTCTCTGGGTCAGGGGCCCTGCAATACAGTGGTGCCTCGCTTAATGGGCACCCCGTTTAACGACGAATCCGCATAGCGATTACGTTTTTGCGATCTCAAAAGCGATTGCATTGCGATGTTTTAGATAGGAAAAAATCGCTTTGCGATGATCGGTACGCTGTTTCGCTTACTGATTATCACATAGCAATGATTTTCCAACAGTTGATCGGCGGTTCCAAAATGGCCGCCGGGTAACAAAAATGGCCACCCGCTGTGTTTTCATGCCAATTCCTCGCTTACCGGGCAGCGAAAATGGCCGCCGTATGGAGGATTTTCGCTTAAAGGTGATTTTTTTTGCCCATAGGAACGCATTAAACGGGTTTTAATGCACTCCTATGGGCTTTTTATTTTCGCATAGCGAAGAAATCGCTTTGCAGCGATTTTTGCTGCACGGATTATCATTGCTATGCGGGGCACCACTGTATTCTTTGACTACTGGAGCAGGGCTTGAAGACCTGAATATGGACAGATGGAGGAGGAATGGTGCTTTGGAAGAGGGCATGGGTGGCATTCCAAAATCTCCACACTGCAACATTTTGCTGCAGGTCCCCTTGTTTAGTTCTCCTGTGCCTTCCTCCAGCCTCTCTGAACGCCTTCCTCCTCCACATCCCCATCCATTCTTCACTTTCAAAGGGGCAACGTGGGTCTCGTTTTTTTACCCAGGCAGGCAAATGCTGCCTGAAAGCCCGCAAAGCACATCCAACACATGAGAGCCTGTTGAGAAGGCCGGAGTCTGCGGGAACGATAGAAAACATCCAGCACGGCACCTTGGTAGAGACGCTGGAGGTTAATCCTGAAAAGACACAGAGAAAGAGAAAGCACGTGATCAAGTGTGAGTATTTTAAAAATAGATTGGATGGAAGGTACAAAGCAGCGCGTGGAAAAAATGAGCTACAAGGAGGGCCCTTCTTGACAATGCAGACATTCTCAGAAATCTGCCTCATTCTACAGCTGTTGTGTTTCTTCCTCTGCCAATTTGAAGCTCACGGAAAGCTTCGCACCAGCAAGCTCTGAATGCAGAAGTGATCCACTTTGCAGAGGCAAAACCATCACCCTAAATGTCACTCTCCCTCCCAAGAGCAAACCCCAGAACAAAACAGACCCCCAAATGAAAAAGGAGGGAGAGTCTCAGATCTTGGGTGCGATCCGCTAGGCATCTGTCCCGCTGTCTGTTCCACTGCAGGGATGAGCAGGTTGACTCCTTTTGCTGGCAATCAGGTCATGTACAGCAATTGTCAGAGTGAAGCAGCCCACCTTTAACAGCATTCCTACCTGCACAGTTATAGGTCCCTAACTTTTCTGGTGAGGGTAAGATTGCTCTGTGTTGGATCTCGATAATAGTGAGCTGGCTACCTCAAGTTAATGCATACCACAACAAAGGTAACATCCCATGCTTTAGTGAGGTTCTCTTGCCTTAAAGCAGACTGAGTGCATCAATGAAAATGGGTTTAAATCCCCTTCCACCACCTAGAACCCACCATTCCTTCCATTTCTGATGTCCAAAGTGTGGGATTATGATTTTTGTAGCTGAAAGGAGAGTCAGCAGCAGGTGTGGGAAACCAGAGATTTTTAAAAGTCTAGAAATGAGCATGCTCAATGAGCATGGAATATTGACGATATTACATCCGGGGGAAGACATGGAAAAAGGGACAAGGGGAGAAATGGACTACTGTGGCAGGAATCCCAGGAGAGAATATTCCATGCTAGAAAAGTTTGTTGCAAGTCTCCCTTGCCACTCTGTACTGATATTTTAAGCATAGAAATGGAGAGGAGCAGAGGATGGAAAAGTTTTTCCCCACCCAGGAGTAAAACACACAGAATTTGAGCTGCTATAGTCAAAAAGAGATATCTGGAGGGAAGACATGGAAAAAGGGACAAGGGGAGAAATGGACTACTGTGGCAGGAATCCCAGGAGAGAATATTCCATGCTAGAAAAGTTTGTTGCAAGTCTCCCTTGCCACTCTGTACTGATATTTTAAGCATAGAAATGGAGAGGAGCAGAGGATGGAAAAGTTTTTCCCCACCCAGGAGTAAAACACACAGAATTTGAGCTGCTATAGTCAAAAAGAGAGAGAAAGTTTTAAAAGTTCTGAACATTTTGCAAAATCTCCATCCTTTCTTATTGGCAATTCTGGGTTGGATGTCTCTACTTTTATGCTTTCTCCTCCCCCCCCAAAAAAGAAATTATTTGTTAAAATAAAATAAAGGAAAATCAGTGGGTGTGCAATGTGCCTTCAAGCTAACATTGATTCATTTGTGGGTCCAAGAAACAACAGAGGAATAATGAGAGTGTCACATTAACGGAGGCCATACCCATGGGTCTGTGCTTCCCTCCTGTAGAAGGAAATGTGGCTGATTTATAAATGCACTCTGGTTTTAGAGACGCAGGATGTTTGTGTTAGAAGAGAGAGACCCTGGAGCTTGTATAGAGCAGTGGTGCTCAACCGAGGGTCAGGGATTCATGGGTGGGGTTCACGGGAGAGCCAAAGAGACCCAGTGAGCTAGAGGACCTGCAAGTTCCCTTCCGCTTCTAAAGTTTAAGATCACATAGAAAGCCACTTTGAGCAAACACTTCTGAGACGGAGGGAGGGGGATTTGGAATGAAGATGGAAATGTTCTCACCTGTGTTTCACCAGGGACTTCAGCAACATGCAGAAAGTCAGCAGACAGGAGATGACCAAGGAAATAACAAAGCACACTACGAAAAAGGAGTAGGCAGAGATGTGAGAGGGCCAAACACACTGACCACAGAATTCATGCCATGGTGTAGGGCATGCAGAGTCAAGATCCCAGAACCTTCTAAACAGCAGGGACTATGACACCCTCCCCCACCCTCCACAAGTTTCCCTGTTCCCCCTGAGCTTAACAAAAATCCTCATAGTGGCTGGGAGAGAAATAGGTTTTTGTAAACCAGCCATGTTGTAATACAAAGTATTTGAAAATGGTTTGGTCTTGAACGGGCCATTAGGAGCCATTCAGTTTACAAAGACCTGCTCTTTACTTGTTAATGGGGGATAGCTATGGGGGCAGCCACAGAAGGGCCTTCTGGGTCCTTGCCGGAGTGTCCCATGAAATGCACCAACGTTGCATAAGGGAAAGCATAACACAGGGACCAACAACCATCCCATTCACTACTAATAGATCACCTGCCCCTCCCTCATGGCATGCAGCTAGGATTTGGAAACAGAGGGGCCATGCTGGCTCAGTGAGAAAGCAGTGTGTGTGTTTGATTTGGATCATGGCCACAGCATGACAGCCATTGGGTTCATACCACCATTGCCCACCCCATTATTATTATTTTTGATCAAGATCATTCCAGCAACACCTGTAACAATGAAGGCTTCCCAAACTTGAGACTCCAGTGTTTTGGGACCACGACTTCCAGAATGCCTAACCATTGGTCGTGATTGCTGGAGCACCTGGGAGTTGGAGTCTGACGGCATCTGGGGACTCAAGTTTGGGAACCACGGATCTGGAGGACTGCGCTCTGCCCCTCAACACCTGGCACGGCCAGCGTTTTGAAAGAGTACAAAAAGACTGGTGTCCTGCCCCAAGAGGTTTGCAATATAAAAGAGCCTCTGGGTTGTATTTTTGTTGTTGGTTTTTTTACTATTTCTTAATGTGACAGACTGTAGAGCTTGCCAAGGAAGTCCCTGCAGGAGTGACTGAACTGAGATATACCAAGCCCTATAAAGCTTGGGTGGGCCCAGAGTATTTTGCAAGAAATGGAGTAATGCTGGCAATTTCAAATATACTTTTAATTTTAAAAATATAGTTGTACAGTGGTGCCTCGCTTAACGAGCGCACCATTTAATGATGAATCCGCATAGCGATGTTTTTTGCGATCGCTAATGCGATCGCATTGCGATGTTTTAGGTGGTAAAACATCGCATTGCGATGATCGGAAAGCGTTTCACTTACCGATCTTCGCATTGCGATGTTTAGAAAACAGCTGATCGGCGGTTCCAAAATGGCCACCGGGGGCAGAAAATGGCCGCCTGCAGTGTTTTCGCGCCCTGCCCTCACTTACCGAGGCGGCGAAAATGGCAGCCGGATGGGGAATCTTTGCTTACCGGTGAGTTTTCCCCCCATAGGAACACATTAAATGGAGTTTAATGCGTTCCTATGGGGTTTTACGTTCCGTATAGCAATGTTTCCGGATAGCAACGTTAATCCTGGAACAGATTAATGTCGCTATGCGGGGCACCACTGTACTTAGAAACTGTCATAATCCAAGTCCCCAGACCTTAGTTTGTTTAGGTTGTGCATAATCCAGGCCTGCTGTGACGACACAGACAGCCCGAAGAAGGGGGAAAGTGATGGAAAAGATTACGATCCTTCAGACAAGAAACCGGTGCATCCTCATTTGTCCAGTGGTACCAAAAAAAGATATATATTCCATTATTTCATGGGCTGTGGAGAGAGCAGAGGCTCTTCTCACAGGGAGTGGCTGGTTCAGCTGGATGGAGGTGGCAGGACCAACTGCCCATCTGCCTGCTGGCCAGCTTTGAAATGTCCTGCGTCTCTTTCCCACACCGAAGCTGCGTTGTTCCGTTGTTGGATGTCATCTTTTCAATTCTGACCCATTTCAGGCATCTTTGTGAGCGCTGGGGTGCACCCATCCGATCTCGGATGCATTTCTCTCCCCATGGCTGCTACTTTCACTTGTTGGCAAATGGCCCAACCATGCAGGAAGCGTTAATGCTTCTCTAATCCACTTAAAGAAAAGATATTCCTATGGAGGCCTACAAGTAAAAAAAAGGCTTTGCATGCTATGTCCTCTAAAAATATTGTCTTTCCTAGAGACTGGCACATGCATAGCCAAATCACTTAAGTCCAGGATGGATCCTTTCCTCTGAGTTCCATAAAGGCCTTTAAACATAAGGGCTAGAAACTTGGGATTTTTCTAAAATGGGGTGGGGGAAATATTTAGGCAATGTATTCAGCCATATGGCACAGCCGGCCAACACATATTCAGAAAAATGTTCCTTTTGGCTTCCTATAACCCAAGGAAACCCATTCAAGTCATTAATGGACACTTCAATTAGTGAATACTTACCGTTTAACTGGCTTGGGGGAGTGTTCAACCACCAGGTCATTGATCTACATTCTAAATGTTTATGTTGCCTTATAGAGATGGGCACAAGCCACCAATTCAATGGTTTATTGGTCGGACAGGTGTTTGGCACTTCAAAGCTCTGCCCCCTCCAGCAGGTGTTCCCACCTCGTCTGGGAACGGCCTCTAAGTGGGCACCCACTGGAGAAGGCAGGGCTTCGAAGTGCTGAACACCAATTCAGCTGATAAACAAACCAGCAGTGCATGCCCATCTCTATTGCCTTATAATGAACCAGATGATTCATTCATCAATCAATCACAACAGTTATCTCTACTAGACAGAGGCTAAGACGACTCACCTTCTACTGACCAGATGTAGTGCTTAGCTGTGGCCAGCTCCTTATCTCCAGGGATACCGGCTGGGTTTTCAGAGGGGACAATACCAAACTGGACAAAGAGGGCCGTGAGTTCCTTTGTCATTCCAGACCTCACTATCTGGATGTTGGGGACAAATGCTGAAAGCAGCAGGAGGGCCACCTATGAACCGAGAAACTGCAGATGAGGCTGGTCATCCAAACAGGAAGAGTTGGATGGGTGCAGATGAAGCTGAGATATAGGTTACCTGGTAGACACTGATCAGAGCCATGGCTAGAGAGAGGACCAGCTTCAGCGGGATCTGGAATCCTGCAAAACCAAAACCATAGTCTCATATCACTCTCGTATTATACATGTATGGAGGATCTAGTCTGTGATCTTCTAAAGGCGTGATTCCCATCCTTTGGCTCCCAGGGTTTCTTAAGAGTAAAACCGACAGAAGCTGTGCTGGCCAGGATTTCTGGGAGTTGTAGTCCAGGAGCACCTGGGGACCCAAGGTTGGGAACCACTGTTCAGAAGCATGTTTCAGCCAATTTTGACCTGTTCTATGAATTCATATCTTCTTTCTACAACTCCCATGAAAGACAGGAGGGTTGGCTTTCCTGCTTAAATGAATCTCTTTATTCCATGTAACAAGAAATTGCAGCATTTCATCAAGAGATGTGTCCAGAAATCCTTCTAAAAACAAACAACAACAACAACAACAAACACAGGCCACGCGCTTGTGATTTAGTAAATCAATTGTAAACTATAATTTTAGAAACAAGGCTAAACCAAACAGGCCATGCATTTGTGATTTAGTAAATCAATTGTAACCTATAATTTTAGAAACAAGGCTAAACCAAATTATACATGGATGCATCCTGATTTACATACTTTGTGCAGAGGGCCACAAAATGCAACAGAAATGCTTGCACATCCCGATGAGGGCAGAAAACATTGCCCTCATTCTGCACTGGCTTTATCACATAGTCTTTGCATGTTTGCCTGGGCCCTCTTTAGGATGAAGCCCTTTGTTGCTTTCAAAGTAACACTCATGGTGCAGTTCAGGTGGGGAAAACACCTGTGAACAGGTAGCTAACAATAAGTAGTATATTGCATGTTTGCCTGGGGCCTCTTTAGGATGAAGCCCTGTGACCTTTGTTGCTTTCAAAGTAACACTCATGTTGCAGTTCAGGTGGGGAAAACATCTGTGAACAGGTAGCTAACAATAAGTAGTAAATGAAGGCATTAGAAATATCTCCTTTTCATCTCCAGCATTTTCATGGCTGAATGGCCAGCTTCTGCTGCTCACCCAGGACTACAAAAACAGAGGAGTCTGTCAGTTATTTGACAAGCCAAGCGCATATTTTGTCACATCAGTGGAAAAGAGGGAGAGGGTGAAGAAAGATGGTAGTGGCGACCCACCATCGGTTGTTGCTTCTCCATACCACATAATACTTTGCCACTTTGCAGCAGGTTGATAGTGACTTTGGTGAACTGATAGTTCAGCTGTCCTCTGATGCAGAACGTTTTGTACAAAAATAAGACAATACTTTCCTTGGAACTCCCTGCATAATAGAGCATGTGAACATGTTTGAGTCGCATACAGATAGTGAAATAGCTGGAATAGCACAGATGCCTTAGCAAAGATAGAATTTAGACCAGCGGTTCTCCAACCTTGAGTCCCCAGATGTGCCTGGACTACAATTCCCAGAAATCCTGTCCAGCACAGCTAGTAGTGGAAGCTTCTGAGAGTCTTGGTCCAAAAACATCTGGGAGCCCGAGGTTGGGAACCACTCATGCAGAATGAAGGCAGAGGAGATGCACCAATATAACCCCCTGGTAATGCCTCTTAAGAACCCACTGAGATATCCTTTCACATAATACCTTCCTGAGGGGTGTAGATGTAAGAGCGCAAGTAGGACTGGAGCCTGGACTGTAGGCCTGGCTTGGCCATGTTGCTGCTGAAAGAGAGAAAGGGGAAAGGGGGCAACACAGGGTGAGGTAGATAGAAGACATAGGGACACCTGGAATGTGGTGACTCTAGTTTCAAGGGGAGCGGTGAATCGATCTTCGCTTTCAGTCTGAACGTGCTATCAAAGGTACGGAATGCACTTCAGGGAATGGGTACCATGCCTTAGAAGCTCATGCAAAATCCAGACTGAAACCCACAGCAGAATCACTTTCCTCTGGCGCTGGGGCCACCCATCACCTCATCACAACACCACAAGCCTGGATGAGATGGAAACACGGGCAGGATTCTGAGGAATGCAATGAAAAGAAGACCTAAAGCCTTCCACATTCCTAACACAGACTTACAGAAGACCTAGAAGACAGAAATGCGGGAACATGTCAAACTTAATCAGCAAGAAGGGCAAAATGTTTTCATTTTGAAGTGAGGTGAGGGCATAATAAATAAAAAGAAATTCTGTATGTGATGTGATCTAATGTAATAAGAAAATAACAAATTGAATCCCTCAATGCAAGAAGAGAGCCATGATCGTGACCTTGATGGGTTTGTCATCACTAAATGAGGGTCATCACAGCCCTCATGACAGCCAAGAAATAGCCCATAATGACAAAGGTTCAGGCAATCTGATTCATATTTCCTCTTGGCTTCCACAGCCGGGGGTAAGATTTATCTGCAGGGAATGGCATCGATTCCTATATGGCATTGAAGAAACTGAGTACAGGATTTCATGGGCAGAAACCAAAGCCATTTTGTTCAATGGGAACTCCAGCAGGAAAGAAGGAAAACGGTAGAAAATCTCACAGAATGCTGTGGGAGCATCTGGATTTACAACCCTACCCCCCCAACTTGCCATCCCCAAACCTATGCTGGATCAACCCAGAACATGCAGTGCCTGCCCCCCAAAATCTGTCTGGGGATACTCCAAGGTACGGTTCTCATTCCCCATATTTTGGGACAGTATTGTGCTGACCTATCTCAAGTGGAATGAAAACAAACAATGGCGCTGGGATTTACCTTGTCTTGGGTGCTTTTTTAGCCAGAATATTCTTCAGGTAGCCTTTGCAATAGTCACTCCCAGGGATCTTAAACAGAACAGTACAAATACACATCACACTTCTTATTTATCACAAGAACATGCCAGCCATTTCCTCTTAAGCTAGGGCTCGGTGTTCGTACTTAGCTAACCTCAAACTACAAGAGGAAAGGGAACAGGATCTTAATTACCTCCGTAAAACTCATCCTTCACGATCCCCAATTTCAGCCAGCCATGAGCCTTCTACAAAAAATAGCTGCGAGGCATTAGAAATCAGAGGGGGGCTGATATTAGGGCTGGTGTTTATGAGGGATGTGAAGAGCATTTGTTAAAACCTTTTATTTTTAGCAAGACAATACTCTTGAGACAGTTGTTCTGCATCCACCTCTTTGAGATTTCTCACCTCCAGCACGAGAAGGCAGTGATGACAATGGCAGGTTTTTGCCCTCACAGAAATTTCCACAACTTCTAAGAACTGCCTTCTATGCTACTGAGCGTATTTTCCTCCTGGATGCAAGCTACTGGGTTCAAGCTACAGGAAGCCAAATTTAGGCTGAATATCAGGGGAAAAAACTTGTGAACTGTTAGAGCAGTACAACAATGGAACGAATTGCCTTGGAAGTGCTCCAGCACGTGAGGCATTCAAGAGGACATTGGATAACGAGCCTTGGAAGTGCTCCAACACTTGAGGCATTCAAGAAGACATTGGATAACGAGGTCTGCTTTAATTTGTATTCCTGCCCCTGAGCAGGGATTCGGACTTGATGGCCTTCTAGGCCCCTCCCAAGTGAGTCATTCTACGATTCTAGGACTTCGAGAGCACGCATGGAAAAAGCAAGCAAGCCAGAATGACTGGCCTGATCGATAAAAAATTTGCAAACAACCTGCACAAGGCATTTAATAGAGCTGTCCACCAAAGCAGTGGCTGTTGAGCTTGTGCAAAGCCAACTAACTAACTAACTAACTAACTAACTAACTAACTAACTAACTAACTAACTAACTAACTAACTAACTAACTAACTAACTAACTAACTCAATCAATCAATCAATCAATCAATCAATCAATTCAATTCAATTCAATTCAATTCAATTCAATTCAATTCAATTCAATTTAAAAACATGTAAAACATTCTTGTTAACTTTTATTAAGACCAATGGACAGAAGAAGGAAAAAAATCTCCATCTCACAAGCAGAGAACATTTTGGGTATCAGAACAAGGCAAGGAACGACTTTCACTTAGGGGTGCCCCAAGCTTTCTTATTGTTTTAGATGGGAAACAGTGTGCCTTTGTGCATTCTTATTCTTGTTTCTAACTGCTGGATAGCTCAGGGGTTTAGGGATCTTGTTGTGGTGCCAGAGTGCGGGCGTTCAATTTCCTCACAGTGCTTCCTTGACGTGGCGCTCTGTAGGATCCCTTCCAACCCACCCGTTCCCAGCTTATTGCTGCCATTGCCCGGGAACAGGCCCACCTCCACAGCAACGGATCCAACAGAAAACACATTGTCAGAGGCCACAGCCTTTGAGCTAGCCCCGGCTTCTGATTTTAATGCAGGAATAGGTGACTTTCCAAGGTCTCGGGGGATACACCACGGCTGCTCCGTCTTCCTATGGTCCTTAACAACAACTCTCCTAAATTAGTTTTTGCCAAACTTGGGGTGGTGGGGGGAGGGTGTTTTTGCACCTTCTAGAAGGCATGAGGATAAATTTCATTTATGTCTTCTAGGAGGCTGGAGGGAAAGGAACAGTTTTTGCCACTCTCTGGCTAATATTAGACTGGGGGCAGGTGCTTTTATTTCAAAGGCTGAAGCAGTAATAGAGGGCACACTGAATTATTTTTGGTAAATCAATAAATATTGGGGGGAGGTGTAGGGATGCAGTGTGGTATAGTGGATAGAACGACAGATTAGGACTCAGGGTTCAAATCCCTGCTCAACCATGGAAGCGGAACTGGTATAATCACTCCTTAAATATCTCAGGCCTTGGTCACACAAGAGAAGTGTTCTCTTCTTCTTCAAGGACTTCCCATACCTTTGTTGTGTTTGCGTGTAAGTAAAATATTTATTGATACATCGATATACAGTGGTGCCTCGCTTAACGAGCGCTTCGTTTAACAACAAATTCACTTAGTGATGCCTTTTTCGGAGCAATCTTGCGCTCCATTTAACGATGTTCCCTATGGGCGATTTTCGCATAGCGATGTTTGGGACCATGCTTCGCATAGCGATGACAGTTTGGGTCCCCCTATTTCGCTTAACGATGGTTTTGACAACCTCCTGTTGGCTGTTTTTTATACGTTTAAAATGTTTAAAAAATGTTTAGAATGCTTGAAATCATATGTGCACTTAATAAGCCCTTTGTTAAACTAAGTTGACTTTGTTCCGACTCTTTTTCAATTTGTTGTAATTTCCCCCCCCCCCATTGAGATGCATTGAATAGGTTTCAATGCATTTCAATTGGGGAACCGTGTTTCGCTTAGCGATGTTTCCTATGGCGATTTTCACTTAAGGATGGCAATCTATTCCCATTGGAATGGATTATCCGATTTTCAATGCATTTCTATGGGAAACCGTGTTTCGCTTAGCGATGTTTTCCCATAGTGATGAATTTTTTGGAACCAATTAACATCGCTAAGCGAGGCACCACTGTATCAGGAACAAGGTTCCCCTCAAGATGTGCCACCACGAGCGTGCATGACTCCGCCCCTCTCCGCACAGTGTTCCTCCTCCTCGGTGCACCCACATCAATCATTTCCAGCCTCTTTCATTCACAACAGAACCCTGCATGGGGCAGCCAGTTATTAAGCGTCAGTAATGTAATGGTGGCACTCCCCCCAGTGACGTACTTTTACCAATGCATTGGTGTATCGTGCATTATTTTTTTTATAAAATTTAATAAGCACTTTGCAGTAATGACAGCCACCTTCCCGGCTTTGATTCTTAAAAGAAGTGGGGCAGGTTGTGCACACAGGCAATCCTGGTAAGGAAGGCACCGGTACAACATAGGTACAAAATAATGCAACCCTCCTGGTGTGTGTGTGTGGGGGAATGTCCCGTAGTTATACCGCTGGCCAGGAAAATGTCTCAACCTTGAACTAACTGGGGGACGACTAGAGAACATTCCCCTCATGCAACCAGGGCCTTAAAAGCCCTTTTAGAGTCTCTATAAGTCAGTTATCACTTGATGGCAGAGAACAACGAGAGATGCAAGGGGGTGGGAAGGGCGAAGGGCTGCACAGGGAGGCCTTTGCCACCGGGTGTGTCCGCTTTGGACTGCACTGTGCGCTTACCCTTGCTTTAATGTAAAAAAAAAAAATTAGCACCCTACCAGTTGATTTTTTAGGCGGGAGCTTCCATAGTCCCCCAGCTAACAAAAAGCTTCAGATCTCTGGAAAGCACGGACTTTCTGGAGCCACAGAACTGACGCAAGTGTCTCATTTGTGAAAGAATTAACAGCAGCCCTCACTTGGGAAATGAACAGGGGGAGAACAAGAAAGGATGAAACAAAGGGAAGGCGACACAGGAAATTCAATGCTCTCACACAGCAGAATGACTAAAAATGACAGCCTGTAGGCAAGATGACTGTCAATGAAAAGGGCTTTCTAAATATAAAATGTATGCTAACCAACAGTTCAGTAAGAAGATTCATTGGCTTTCTGGTTTGACATTTCTAGCGCTGTTGAAAAGGTGCTGGTTGGCTCCTGGATCCCCATCATGGCAATATGTTTTGATCGCTAGTAAGAGAAAGCCCAAGCTCCATCTTTTCAAACAGGCAAAGGCCGGCAATGTTGATGAAAACGAGCGTGCAGGAGCCACAATGTGCATTAATGCACACTGCAGCCCTGGGTCTCAAGTGCGTAATCCCTCTCCTCCCATCTCTGGCTTCTCCATTTACTCTGAGCTTAGCTGCAATCCTCACAGTAATTCAGAAAATAACAGATTTCCCCAATATTGTTGCAAGGTACCTCTGCTATAGTGGAAAGTGCAGTTTGGCCTTGCATGGGCAATTGAGAGCCATTCACTTTACAAAAGAGATTGTGAAGGACAGAAGGCTAGTGTGCCATCCTCAGCAGATGATAGAAAGGAGGAGACGTGGAAGCATGTAGAGGGAGAAATCATAAAAATAGAGGAGGATGAATTCGAGGGAAAGAAAGCCATAGAGATATGGTTGGCGGAGGAGAAGGAGGGAGACAAAGGGGAGGGGCAAGGTCTGATATTATGGAGGAAGCTATAAAAGGAGGGGGAGAAGAGCGGGAATTTAGAATCGAAGTGGGCAAGAAAGAAGGGAGCATGAGAGATCGCGTGGTACAGACTGACAGGACAGAAGACCACGCTAATAAGGTCTGCAACTTGCTAAAGGACTTCCCAAACCTCAAGATGGGTGGAGGATTGCTCCCTGATCCCTCTTCTCCCCAGAGTGGAGAGAGGGTTGACAAGCCCCTAGAATGGATGGTTGCGGTTTACCTTGGAAACCAAGGTAGAGGGAGAAAAGTGATCTGTCCTGGTCCTTGATGCAATGCCCCAACCCCAGAGGAGGATTGGGCGAGGCGTCCGTTTTGTGGGACGGTGTGTGCAGTGAGGAGTACCCCCGATGCGGCAGATGTCAGACCGAGAACGCTTTGGTCCAGTTCTGATGTGAGAGAAGGAGTGTTCGCGTCAGAACCGAAGTTGTCAAGTTATGGACCGATACATGAGTTGAATAGTTTTGACCCGTTTAGTAATGTTAACCACTGAGTTGAGTAGTTTTCACCCGTTTAGTAGTGTTAACCAAGAAACAGAATAAAGTAAAATTTGTTGGACAGTTAAACTTGCCTCCGTCTCTCATTCCCGCCAACATGAAGGAACCTTCACTGATTTCTGAAGAACCCAATCACAGAGATGCTCCTCATATATTGGTACGGGCCGATCCTGGTGTCTGCATTTCCCTGCTCTTCTCATTAGGCATTAGGGTGGCCATGCAGACTTCCCAAATTACGCCCTCAACCCTTGAATATGACTACCTACTTGCTGGAGCATCACTTAGACAAGGGGTGAGTAACTTCTAGAGGCCAAATCTTTGAGACCCGCTCCCAGATCCATGCCCCCTGAAACCCTTTAACAGTGTCCCTTCTAGTTTTGCTGAGCCTAAAATTAATTTGGTTGAGTGTTAAGGGGGGGAAATGGCAAAATTATCTCCCATATCCTCCCTAAAGGGCTTTTTGGATTAAAAAAAGTTTTTTTCAAAAGTTGTTGAGGGTGTTATGGGATACAGGAGTACTGGGGCCCCACTCTTTGCTTCAACCAAATGACAGAGAATTGATTGAGAGGCGGCATTGTCAGCCTTCTCAGTATGGAGGGGGAGAGCGAGCGAAAGAAAGAGAGAGCGAAAGCACATCTGATTCATTTAATCTCCATGAAATGTCTTGTATAATTTCCATCTGTCTTGTCAGTCAGGCTAACAGTTGCACAGGTGCTAATTACCCAGCTACAGACGGCTGGTGCAGGAGGAGAGGGCTACGGCGCTCCTGCCAATCGGAGGGTTGCCGCCTCCAGCTGGAGAGAGCGCCCGCCGTGCGCGAACCTCAGAAGTGGGGAAGAAAGAACGTTCTGTTCGCCATGAAAGGAAACCTAGCTTCTTATCCCACCGTTGTATAAACAGGAGGATTTGGCTAAACCCTAAATACCTCCTGCAAGTTTCTGTGTTTAAAGATCAGGTGTTTGTCATGTTCCTATGCTTCCTTTAATAAAGAAAGAGAGCGAGCGAGAGAGCAGGAAAGAGAGAGGTTTCTTTCTAAAAGGAAGATCAGTGTGCCAGCCCTCAAGATGCTAAACTCCACCTCCATAGCTGTAAACTAGGATATCCGTTCTGCTCTGAATGGGGAACACCGAGGATGAAACCCTTCTTGTGCAATGGGATTTATGGGGTGCAAAATATACATCTAGGCCAGCTTCTGGTTCAGGATTTAGGGTGTGCAACTTATTTGCTCTTTGTGGCTCTTTCCACCGACAGACCTCCCTGTAATGGTCAATACTGACCCTCACTCTTGCTGGAGTCATTATTCATCCTCTCCACTAGAGTAGACTGACAGACCCCCCTGTAAAGGTCAATACTGACCCTCACGCTAGCTCATTATTCATCCTCTCCACTAGAGTAGACCCATGCTGAATGAATGGCATTCATCGCCATCCTGCTATTCAGTTGAGTAGGTGTACTCTAGGGATTGGATTAAAGCCCCAGGGATTGGATTAAATACCCTCCAAAATGCAGTCATTCTCTTTCTGAAAGAGCCAGGCTGTCCTGGTCACCCCTACCCATGTTGAGCATGCATTCGTTGATTGTGGACCGTCAGTTTTAGGTGGCTGGAGACAAAGGAGGGAAGAAAATGGGCTGCAATGGAGTCGTAAAAAGAGGTGTACAGACTTTCAGCACCATTCTACACACGCCTTCTCTGAAGTAAGCCCCATTGAGTCCAGTGAGGCTTATTTTTAGGTAAGAGGACACAGAGTTGGACTACAGCGTTTGAGTAGGTCCGCACCCAGTGCATTCCGTCATGTCTCTGGTAGAAAATGAGGGCCACGCTTTCTGGTGGAGTCCTCCTTTTGAACAACTCCATGGCAGGCAGGCAGGGAGGCAGGCATAACATAGTCCCAAGTTGAGTCCAAGTCTTTTGGTGCAAGTCCTGAGTCCCAAGCCTCGAGGACAAGTCTCAGGTCATTTGCCCTCCCCTCTCAAGGCTTGGAAGGAGGCAGGCATAACATAGTCCTAAGTCGAGTCCAAGTCCTGAGTCCCAAGCCTCGAGGATGAGTCTCAAGTCATTTGCCCTCCCCTCTCAAGGCTTGGAGTTGAGGACTCCAGCCCAAAGACTCAAACTGCGCATGTGCCGCCCAGCTGATGCGCAGAGACAGCGGGCCTGGAAGGGAAGCTGGGTAGTCCCATGATCAATTGTGAGCATCATCCTTAGAGACAGCAGGTTGACTTCCCTTCCCAGAGCCAGGCCCTGCCTCTGCGCATGCGCCCGGCCTATCCGCTGGGCAGTGGGTGTCCGGGCGGAGGCAGCAGCCCGCTCATGGAAAGGAAGCCAGGCCTGCTGCCTCTAAGGATGATGGCAGTAGCGCTGGCAGCAGGGAGAGAGGGAGGTCCATCCTTAACAGGGACTCGAAACACAACTCGGAAAAATGTTTTTGAGTTGCAAGTTGCATCGGAGTCGTATAAAAGACTGGAGCTGAGTCTGAATTGAGCTGCTGGTGCGACTTAAATTGGACTCAATAGTGAGTTGCGACTCGCAAGCCCCCATCCCTGCATAGTCCTCACCAGCCTGGCTTTTCTCCCGGAAGAACCCCCCGGAGAATCAAACTCCTGAGTCCAGGTTCCCTGGCTCCCTTCCAAGAGCAGAAATGCACAACGAGGACATTGCTTTTGATATGCGCCATCTTCCAGCTCCCTCAAAGCTCCTCTTCTTCTGTCCTAGCTACACCTCTGTCCTGCATTCTAATTCAGATCCCTTAAAGCATTGCTTTTTTCCACCGCAACCCTAGAATCCCCTTGCCATCTGGCCAGGGAACGTTGGGAGTTGTAGTCCTAAAAAATGGGACTTTCTCCCAAGCACTGGTCTCTCTAGAAGCAAAGCAGTCAATTCATACTAGCCTATGTTCATCCATTTTCTTAAAAATATCTCAGCACAGGGCCAGGCGACCGAATAAATGCAACAATAACTCAGAGGAGGAGGAGGACAAGAAGCAGGAGAGAGGGAGGGAATGCTGCACTTGGAAACTCATTGTACAGTTTGACAGAACAGAGACGTGTGCAGAGAATAATATATTTTCCTGGCATTTTGAAAACCACAGACGTGTATGTCACCTTGGTATTTTTAATCCTGCCAAATTGGCCAGGTTCCACTCTCCATTTCTACACCGTACTTAGGAATCTGTCCATTTTCCAAAAATCTATCCGATATTTATCCTGCCTTGCATAATTTGCGCCTTCTTTGCTGCGGGAAACAGTTGGGGAGTCAAACATACTCATTAAACGGGCCCACATGCTCAACTGTGAGCATCCGATTCCTCTCGCTGCACCATCCATTGTCTGAGAACCCCCTGCCAACCCTTCTTCCCGAGCATCTAAAACACAGGGAGATGCAAAGAGACGAGCATGTTCATGTTTCCCCCAAAAGCCAAAACTATGTCTTTAAAAAAGCTTGGAGAATTACTCATATGAAAATAGGAATGATGGAAGGGTTCACACTTAATGGCCAGAGATGGGCATGAACTACCAGTATTCATGCCGGTTTGTTTACTGTTCATACAGTTGTTTGGAGCTTCCCAGACCCGCCTCCTTTGGTGTGTGTCCACTAGAGAAGGTGGGGCTGGGAAGCACCAAACACCTGTTTGGCCATTAAATGAACCAGTGCAAACCACTGAATGAGCATTACTCACCCATCTCTATTATTGACCACTTTATATCTGTTGCACTAATTCAGAGTTGGGACTCATGCAGTCCTGGCCCATCCCCAAGGTCCTGGAATCTCTGAGAGGAAAGGAAAATTCCCCACAATGTGTGTGTGTGTGTGTGTGTGTGTGTGTGTGTTTTGGGTGGAGAGAAATTCCCTCCAAAAATCTACTACTAAAAGAACATGAGCGGCTTTTTAAAAAATGACACATTTTCATGCTTCTCATGTATTCAAGAAACTCAGCCCCATGTACTAAAATTTGTAAGCTGTTCTGTATAACTAATGGTAGGTACTGCTGGCAGATGTTGCTTTTTTTTAATGTGTATGCTTCTAGGAGGGAAGCCCTGGATGGGAGAGATTTTGGGTGGTTTTGAAATTTTCACAGAAATGACCCATCGCAACACCCCGCGAGTCACAGTGACCCAAAAGGAGCCTAACCTCAGAAATCTGCCCACTAATGAAGCTTGTGATACTTTTCCTGTATGTAAAATAGTGCATACATTTAAAATACACAAAGAATTTAAAAAGTGTACAACGGAAGAATATGTACCCACATACTGTAGTCAATGGGGAACGTGCGTCGGACAATGCATTTTTTAAGGGAATGCATATATATTATGGAAAATGCACAGAGAAAACACAGCTACAAAGTCTTGCAAGCTGAGCTAGGATTTGGGGAAACCCAACAAAACTGAGACAGATCATTTTTCACATACTCTGGCTAATGCTGTGCCTTTAGGATAGCGTCCTCAGCAGCTATTGCTATTCTGCCAGCTGGGGAGAAAGGGAGGCGATTCTTCCTACCAGTCTTTTCCCCAAGGACCTGGTAATACACTACATCTTTTGGGACAAAAAAGGGTCCTTCAAATGCATTACCTCATCAGCAACCACCTTTTCCTTCTCTCTGAAGCTCTTGAGAAGCTGCGCTGGGTACCAAAGACTCAGAACCAGGAGGCACAGAATAATAGGGAGATAAGACAGCAGGGAATAGTACCTATAAATCTAAGAATGTTGAAAAAAAAGAAAAGGAAAAAAAAAGAGAATTAGAAAGAAGCAAATACATTCTCTGTTATAGATTTATACAAGGTTCATAGAAATTGTATTCCATTCATAATCTCCCTACAGTCAAACAATGCAACATAGACAGATCTTTGAAAAGTTTGTTCATTTTGGACAGAATTCCCAGCCTTCCCCGATGTTGACTGGAGGATTCTGGGAAGTTTCCCCTCCCGTCTCAAAAAAAGTATACTTTTTTCTAAGTTTTGATGTTGGTTGTTTCTCAATACCTGCATCATGCAAAATGTGATTGCTGTTTATAACTAGTTTTCTCCTCCTGGGGACGATGGCAAAGTGGGAGAGGCCTTTCCTCTGATCTGTTTCTGGAGAACTCAGAGGACTCTTCAAATGCTGGGAAGGAAAAGACTCAAAAGAATGGGAGGGAGTAGGCTCTTCCTCCACGAGGAGCCTCACGGTGCAGTGGTTAAACTGCTAATTCAGAGGACTCTTTCAAATGCTGGGAAGGAAAAGACTCAAAGGAATGGGAGGGAACAGGCTCTTCCTCCACGAGGAGCCTCATGGTGCAGTGATTAAACTGCTGTCGTGCAGCCAAAGCTGTGCTTACAGCCTGGGGTTCAATCCCAGGTATCATGCAGCCAAAGCTGCGCTTACGGCCTGGGGTTCAATCCCGGGTAGATGTCTCAAGCTTGGTCCATCCTTTTGAGGTCGGCAAAATGAGTACCCAGCTCGCTGGAGGGGTCTGATGTGTCTCCTGCATAGTGTCTCAAGCTTGATCCATCCTTTTGAGGTCGGCAAAATGAGTACCCAGCTCCCTGGAGGGGTCCGATGTGTATCCTGCCTAATTAACTTGTCAACTATGCAGAGAGTGCTTTAAGCGCTATGGGATGGTATACAGTGGTGCCCTGCATAGCGACATTAATCCGTTCTGGATTAATCGTCGCTATGATGAAACATTGCTACACGGAACGGAAAAAGCTTGTTTAATGCGTTCCTATGGCTCCTAAACTCACCGTTCAGCAAAGTTCCTCCATAGCGCCGCCATTTTTGCACCCTCTGTAAGCAAGGGCAGGGCGTGAAAATGGTTGCGGCGGCCAGTTTGGAACCGCGGCGGCCATTTTGGAACCACCGATCAGCTGCTGAAACGCTTACCGATCATCACAATGCGATGTTTTCCCTATTACAAACATCGCAATGTGATCGCATTAGCGATCTCAAAAAAGAGATCACTACGCGGATTTGTCGTTAAACGGTGCGCTCGTTAAGCGAGGCACCACTGTAAGGGGTCTGATGTGTCTCCTGCATAATTAACTTGTCAAATACTCAGAGAGTGCTTTAAGCGCTATGGGGTGATATATAAGAAGCACACTTTTTTCCCTTCTCCCCCCCTTCCCTTCGTATTTTAAGATGTTAGTCAGAAGCAACGTACCTCCACCCCTGCTTTTAACTGTCGCCACTAACTTTTTTCCCTTTAGCCCCCCTTCCCTTCGTACTGTATTTTAAGATGTTAGTCAGAAGCAACGTGCCTCCACCCCTGCTTTTAACTGTTGCTACTAACCTCTCTTTAACACTTTCTGGAATCTAAAGGTAGAGTAGGGTGATGAGTTGTTTCGCCTTGCCTTGTGCTTTTGGAGGCACTCAGAAGTTGGGATGGAGAACATTTTGTCTTGCTCCTGGTTCTTAGTGAACAAGGTGTACTTCCTGGGTGAATGTATAGTCCAGGGCCTTCTCTATGGCGGCTCCCAGGTTGTGGAATGCCAAGCCTAAGATCCAACAGGTGCTTATGTTAGCACCTTCCCTTTTATCCTTCTTAAAGATTACTTGTTGACGCAGTTTTTTAATAAGCATAACTGAGTGCCTGGATGTTGTTTTTAAGCTAAGTAAGTTTGCTTTTAAGGTTTTCAAGTGTTTTACATCATTTAATGTATTTTTAAAATTATTATTATAGTTTAACTCTTTATAAATGTGTAATTTATTGTGTTTTTAATATTACTTGTTTTACCATTGTGAATTGCTTTGGGTCTGCTCATTGAGAGAAAGGTGGCCTACATTCATTAGGCATCCTTCAGTCTCGAAAGACTATGGTGACGTGCTCTGTATGGAGGACTTGGAACAGCGTCTAGTGTGGCTGAGGAGGCCAATTCGAGAGTGACCATCCCTTCCAGTCTGTCCCCTGTCCAGCTCCCTGATTTTGCTGCTTTCGTGACTGCCTCTTTGTATCATTTGGCCTACAAATGATACAAAATAAATAAATAAGCAAGTAGAATGCTGTTATCTGTTGGACCAAGTCATTCTCAGGATTTTGCATGTGATTCTCAGCTCAGAAATTGTATACAAAAATGTGTATGTTAGGAAAAATTACAGACAAAAATGCATACATTAGGAAAGGCCAACTATGAAAATGCATGGGAACATGTGTGCATCTCGTTAAAGTGAAATTATGCTGAAATTGCCAGGGATGCATAGGACGGAAGAGCAGTGAAATTGACTCAGACCGGAAATTGATGGCATCATTTATCAGAGATCATTAGAAACAAGGATTGGTTCTTGATCATACAGTCCTAAGTGACTATATCAGATATACTGGATGGCAGCGTCACTCCTAGACATTTGGAGCTTCTTCCAGTATCTCAAGGACAAATGTTCTGTCTTTTCCTGTCATGTTATCTCTCATCATCATCAGGTCCAAGAGTCTCGCAGCCACCATAGCCACGCTGGTAGAGGGATTCCGTGAGTTGTAGTCCAGCCAGTAACTATTCCAAGTTGTGCTTGCCATGTGCACCTGGGATCCTCATCCAAGACAACCCCTCCATCCATCCATCCATCCATCCATCCATCCATCCATCCATCCATCCATCCATCCATCCATCCATCCATCCATCCATCCATCCATCCATCCATCCATCCATCCATCCATCCATCCAATCTATGATGGGCCTTAGAAAAGCATGCCACCCTAGCTGGATTTCTGAAGTCTACAAAACTGTTGTACAACCACAGGCCCCACCAGCTGTCACATGAGCACAGGCAGAAATACTCTGGCCCTACAGCAATGGCTACACTCCCCTAGGAGGGGGCATCTTCGTCTTCAAACAACCCATCCTTCTTGGCCTAATTTACCTTGGGTGACTGAGGGCATTCCACCTTCTGCCAGAGATAGACCACGCAATGGCACCAGGACAGCAAGCAACCAAAGAGGTACCCCACTCTGTGTTGAACGGTAGCACATGCAATTAAGGGATAGTAGAAGGCAGGGTAATAGAGCAAAGCCATGATCTTGTAGTACTCTAAAGAGGGAGATCAAGGGGAAAAGAAGGGCAAAGGTTACAAGCTGAAGTGGGTCGGCCAAAGCAGCAATTCATCCATCCAGGCCATGCTAAGAGCATGTAGCGCAATGCCAGGACTGGTGGTGGTGGTGGTGGGAGAGCATTCGCAACCATCTGCTCAGGTTGCTTCATTAGCCTTTCACCAGGGAGAGAAATCATGGGTCGCTCTCCAGTGACAGAGCGATGTCAACAGAGCATGGAAGGAACTCATTCCAAATGACTGATTTGCTGTTATGTGCTATCAAGTTGCATCCAATGTACGAGGATTCTAGTTGGGTTTCAAATGTGCATGATATGATTGAAGATATTTAGCATTGCCACTCCCAGTGAGCGGCAGTGATCAATATCCTTACATGGATTTGAACCCTGAGGATTCTAGTTGGGTTTCAAATGTGATTGAGGATATTTAGCGTTGCCACTCCCAGTGAGCGGCAATGATCAATATCCTTACATGGATTTGAACCCAGGTCTTCTGAGCCCTAGTCAAACACACAAAACACAATGGCCCTCAAGAATATTTTAATTGTACTTGAGCTATTATGAAAGCATATCCGTATTATATATCATTCTTAAGCTATAACTACGTTACATGAAAGTATAACTGCATTACATTGTGACAGCGACTTAATCACCACATATTCTTAAGCTATAACTATGTTACATGAAAGTATAACTACATTACATTGTGACAGCGACTTAATCACCACCATCCCTATGGATTATTGAGTCTAGCCCCTGTCAAGGAGGCACAATGGGGAATTGAACTGCCAACCTCTGGCTCAGTAGCCAGGTACATAAAAGAGGGAGAGCATTATCCCTTTAGTGGTAGAACTGTTCCATTACTTTGAGAATGATAGAAGGAAAAGCATAGGGCTCTAGTACAGCCTTATGCTACAGCCTTGGGACTCTGTTGTGGGTTGTGAGGTGCCCAGAAGGAAAATGTGTTGCGTATCACAGCCTGCTAGTTTGTCCTATTCATATGTTGCAACAGCACCCAACTGGGATGCTTAAGAATAATGCCATTCTGATCAGAGGCAGTTGATAATGTGAATAAGATCAGTTACTCATAGGGGAGAGAAGGAGGGACTATCACCTTTATGGTGGGCTCTCTGAAAGGCACCTGGGTGCACCTTGTTGAAACAAGGAAGCTGGACTAGACGGCATGAGTGGGAGAATGCTCAACTAGACAGAATTTTGTTGTGGGTGGGAGAATGGGGAGCTGGACAGATTTTTGCTCTGACCCAGCAGGGTTCTTGTTACGATCTCCACACTCTTTTCACTTGAGATGGTACTGCAAAGGCAGCACCATATCTGGACACATGAACAGCTCCAGGGTGGTAGCTCCACAAACTAATAATAACAAAAAGACAATACGGTGCGGCAGCAGGATGCACAGATGTGTCTTTGCAGGTGACCTCCAGTATTACCTCGATAGGCAGGATGCACAGATGTTCTCCTGTGTCATTGCAGGTGACCTCCAGTATTACCTCGATATTGCGTAGAGGAGTTGGAGAGAAAGGGCAGGGGATTGTTATCCAGAACCAACACACATAATGAGGAGAAAAGAATGCCAAACACGGCCACAGTCAATCCCTTTTTCCCATCTTCTTCCAGGAAATGCAGAGGACTGTGACAAACCAAGAAAGACCATGATGAGAAAGTAAGAACTATAATAATACAGTGGGGTCTTGACTTAAGAACGGCTTGAGTTAAGAACATTTTGACTTAAGAACCACTCTCATAGGAAAATATTGACTTGACTTAAGTACTTAGATTTGAGTTAAGAACTGAAAAAAACCCACGTGGGAGGCAGGGAAAGTGCAAAATTTGAACTTTCAGTTAACTGTTGGCCAGTGAAAAGGGTGCCTGTCTGCTTCCTCACTCCTCCCAGCGTTTAGAGAGTGGATTGGGAGACAGTCTTCGGACTGCCTGGTACTGTCCTGCCTGGACTGTATTTTCCCTGCCTTCCCTGAACCTTTCTTGACCTAAGAAAAAAAGAAACAAAATATCCCCCTCTAGTGGTCAAAGGCGGAATAGCAGCTTCCCATTAGTTTCTATGGACGGAAAAGAGCAGATACGGATCAAATGGTTTTCAGTGCATTCCAATGGGAAATGCAGATTTGACCTGAGAACGTTTTGACTTGAGAACCGCCTTCCAATACAGATTAAGTTCTCAAGTCAAGACCCCACTGTAATAATAACCATATACTTTCAATTTTGACTTAGGGCAACCCTTTACAGAGTTTCCCATTCCCTTCCTCTAGTGGGCGCCCTGGGACTGAGCAGCTGGCCCAAGGCCACCCAGGCTGGCTCTCCTCCCAGGAGGCACACAGCGGGGGAATCAAACACCCAACTTCTGGCTCCACAGCCAAATACCTAAACCACTGAACTATCCAGCTAGCTTTTAAAGTAAGAACTGGCACCTTCAAAGGAGGAAATGCACTTCAGATAGTATATTAACCCTGTTATTATTTGGACACAAAGCCTAGAATGGAAATTAGCCTTTTCCAAACACATCAGTATTTAACATTGAGAGTGATGGACATTTTACGTCAACAGCACAATCGTTATGGCCAGGATCCAACTAAGAATGTGTGCAATAGAAAGCAGATCATTCTGCTGTCCTATGATTGTCCTGTGTGACTTTTGTATCTGTTCCAGACAGCTGAAAAATCTTCCAGTGCAGAGGCTTGGGTGGCCCAGAGATTTAAATTAAGATTATTAGCTAAATCTGCATGTATCTTATTTAGGATTGGGTGTTTGTTTGGGTGTCCCCCTCCTTACTTATTCTCTTCTTGTTAGTTCTGTGGACAAAAGATTAGGCAGGATGAGAAATATCACAACTGAAATTCTGCTCAGACCGACCTTGGGCTTTGGAAATATTACCTGGCAAAGAGTACATACATATTTCCACTTTAAGGACTAACAACTTGGCAAAGAAAGGAGTTAAGAATCTCAGCCAACAGGCAGCAAAATGTGTTCTCAAAGGCTTTCACGGCCAGGATCTGAAAGTTGTTTTTCTTCTTTTGCCAGTCTCTGTGGCCGGCATCTTCACAGGACAGGAGCTAGAACTCTCTCTGTGTTCTGGTGTAGTGTGTGGGATTGCTGAGTATTTGTAGCTGTGGGAATACTTAATAATCCCACACAGAGACTGGTGAAAGAAGAAAAACCTCCAGAACACGACCAAACAACCTGAAAAACCCACAGCAACCATCAGATAGCAAAATGTTCAAGGCCTCCTCTGTCCTTAAAGTGAAACTCAGTTGCCTACATCAGGCGATATACCTCAAGAGTCCAGGAGCGCCGTTCCAACAACTTTTGTAGAGCTTCTTCCGTTTGACCAGCAGAGACAGAATCAGCAATATGACCAGCTTCAAGAAAGAAAAAAGAGATACCATCAGCCAGGGAGAGATAGCCCTAGGGCATGTGTTCACACACCGTTCCACCTCATCTTAAGGAGTCTAGTGGCCCACAAGCTCAGAGTACAATAGCTGAAGGAATCATTGTGCAGCACCAACTGTATATTGAGGCACATCCTTACAATAAAATGTTCATTCGGGGATGGAAATTAAGAAAGAATGCCTAATGTTTCCAGGTGGCCCATCCACACAGGCAGGGCTGGCCCAAGATATTTTGTCTCTTGAGGTACGCAAGCGGCAATATAGAACCTTCTCGTTCTGTACATATAGAACTTGATTGGATTCCCAACTGCATCTGATGGGGCTGACGCCTCCTCCGTGCTCAAGGGCAGGAGACTAGTTTCGATAAAGCTCGGTAAAAGTTCCTTCTTTGGAATTCAGTTCTCAGCCTGTTTTACATGACAGTTCCCAGCCTGTAGGAAGGCGTGGAGTGATTCAAAATGGATGGCTTGATTGCGAGTTTAAGTCTCCTCTGCGTACCTCTCTGGAGAAGTTCAGCCTGTGCAGCCTTGGGCAAGCCGCCCGGTCCCAGAGCACCCCTCTCCAAAGGAGGGAATGGTAAAACAATTCTGAGAAATTTCTAGAAAAGTCTAGAAAGGGCCCCTAGAAACTAGAATTGACTTGGCTGCACGTAATTATTTAAAAAATCCAAAAAGTAACCTTCCACTCCCATACCCTGCCTAGGAGGGAGAGAGAGAATTTTCCTCATTCCCTAAATTACACATCTTGTATTTTGCTTGATCCTCTTTGCATTCTTTACAACTGCCTTTCTCTGCTGACCACGTTCACTGGTTTTGATGTGTTTCATCATAAATGATATACCACTTCATATCACTGGCTGCGCTTTGCTGTAAAATGGTTTGGTTTCTAAAAACCAAAATGGTTAAAATCAACACAGATCGTCAGCCAGGCACCCTGCCATTCCTTGTGGCACATCTGTTGAGAAATCTTTTGGTTGCTTACAAACACACTCCTAAAATTTCAAGACACTCTCCTCCCCTCACACCTCGGAAACTTTCAGCAACTGTCAGGAATAGAAATAAAAACAAACAAAATCAGGCACTGTGATTCGTGAGTAAGACAAAAGAAATGAATTTCATGAAGCTTCAAGACTGGCAACTGCAGGGCTGCTCATGACCCTCACTGTGACAGAGATTGGGCTAGGGGGGCACAAAGTGTATGGCTTTTTCTGTGATGGCCCCATTTAATGGAATGCCTTATAACAGGATATTTGTATGACTTCCTCCTGGGTCATTTTTACAGGGGCCTTAAAGATACAAACATTCCTGTCTCTTTGTGAAGAAAGGTATGCCCATTTTCATTTTATGATTGTGAGTTTTTAGTGTTGTTGCTATTGTTTGATGTACATTTACTTTGAAGCACCTGTAGGACATTTGATGATATAAGGCAAATATATAACAGATATCAAAGTCTCTCATTCTGTGATGTTGTGTAAAGCTACACACTCTGCTCAATCTTACCAAGTAAAATGTTCAGTTCCAGAAAAATGTCTGATCAAGAATCAGAGATCTTTACCAGAGAAGAGTCTTCTCCACAGAGACTTAATACTGGACGTCCAGACATTTCTTAAACCCACTGATTATTGTTGTGATTGTTCTGCCAGTACCAAGGCTGTGACTTGGCTTCTGCAGTACCCCTGCCTGGTTGCTGTTTTATTGTTTCAGACCCAGGACTGCTGCTGGATAGTAGTTTTGGATCTTCCTTACCTCCTTCCCCTAACATGCTGGTAAGACTGTTTATTTGACCCTGGCTTTGTTCTGTCTCCTGGCTTCCATTCTCCCCTTTTCTAGTATGTCTACCAGCCTTATGTGATCTCACTGTATCAGTCTTGCTAGTGTGACCTTTCCATATGGAGCCAAATACAACCAATCAGATGAGTGATCACTGTAGACATTCCATGGCTAATGTAGGTTTTCTCCTTAATTGTAAGAACAAAGGTGCAGGTTTTCTGAATCCTGTCAATTCAAAAGGGCTTTAAAACATTATTCTTAGGGTCTACAGGGTCTTAGGGTCTATAGTCTGCCACTATACACAGTTTTAAACCTCATGAGTGCAGACAAACACTTGTCTAAATTTTCTTCTTTTTCTTGAGAAATTGCCTGCATTGGCTGCCATAGTGCAAGACAGGACAAGGTGTTTGTTTGTTTGTTTGTTTGTTTGTTTGTTTGTTTGTTTGTTTGTTTGTTTAACCAACCAACCAACCAACCAACCAACCAACCAACCAACCAACCAACCAACCAACCAACCAACCAACCAACCAACCAACCAACCAACCAACCAACATGCTACCCTGTTAGTGCAAGACATTACTCTGAGTGGTTTACAACATAATAAAATCAAAGCAGTTAAAAACAATAATTTAATGCATGAATTGATGAAATAAAGTTAAACACAACCTAAAACAAGTCAGGAAAAACAAAACAAAAACAGAAAAAGACAAAAACGTTGTGGCATCTTAAAGGCCAACTGCTATATTTTAAAGCGAGCTTTCATGGGCAAGTCCACATCTTCAGACCTCAAACAAGAGGTGAAACATTCCACGTGACAGTACTTACTGATATAGGAGCCATGCAGGCGTGATAGAGATCATCAGGAATGGTAGGAAAGCAGTCTGGGATAACTTCAGGGGTCATGCTAAGGGAAAAAAAAGATATACAACGGCCTTTTAATATATAGCAATTTCTGAAAGGACAAGGGAATACTTGAGGGCTTGACTTGATTTGATACCATCCATGCAGGGAGACTCAGCAAAGAGATTTTTTAAAAAAAATTACTATAAATATTACTGAATTCATAAGTACTAAGATTGTAACATCATGGTTAAGCCTGATTATTGAGAGAAAGCAGAGCAAAAATAAAATAGGTTCTTCACTGCTGTTGCAAGTTAAAATGTAAGCTGAACTGATTGGCTTGGAGGTTTTCTACCTGGTATTTAATAGTAAGAATGTATGTTTAATCCCTTTCCCAGAATCTAAGGCAAGTCTTTGATAAATACGGCTGCTGATGTCTCTGGTTTATATAGAAAATGAAATCATGCCATGCCACATGAACATCATACATTTTCGTTCCACCTTTAGCTAAATTAAGTTGATGCTTCAATTTTTAGAGAGGAATTTTGTGTAAGTTATCATTCCACCCTTAGGGGACAAGTCACTTATTCCGTCTCTTTGCTACATGTGCTATTATACTAAGCAATTAAAGTAAAAACGGATGACATGCATGCAAAGCCATTTTCTAGGTCTCTAGAAAATATGGGTTTCAGGGCAGAGTTCATGTACATTATGTTAATAAGCGGCGATATATATGTGAAAAGTGAAGGGGTTTTTTTTTGAAAAAAAAAAGAGCAAGAAAATTAATCTGGCAGAAATAAAATTAATCTAGGGGAGCTAAAAGGACTGGCTTCATGGCCAGACATTAAAAGCATTTAACATGCATAACACGGTTATATAATGACTAGGGGAAATGGAGAACCATAGAAAATGTGTTTGAAGAATTAGGAAACACACCATAACAGATTAGAAATTAATTTAGATGAGCCAATCAAAAATTAGAAGAGGGGAGAAGATTTAACTAAGCAGCGATGAATTAAAACAGGATAGATTTGTGACAATGACTAAACCATAATGGGACATCATTATGCAAGAGGCCAAATGAAACCAACCTTTATGAAAATCAAGATTTTGCAAATGTTGTCATGAAAATTCCTGGGAAATAAAGGACCTAGCCAAAGATAGGAGTACAGTGATAGGAGGAAATTGACGAACCCATAATGCTGAAGCTAAGGAAGCCTTATGTCTGGTCAATGCTTGGATGAAAAAGCTCTTTGGAAATCAGGTTCCACCAAATTAGGTTTCATCATGGCGGATAGGTGAGGTATTATATCATCCTTATCTTAGAACTGCAAAGCTGGAAGGGACCGTGTGCAACTGAACTCCCAACCTATGGCTCTGCAGCAAGATAACTAAACCACTGAGCTATGCAGAAGTTCATTTATAGCTGCATATAGATACCAAGTTGTTAGTCTCTTCTACTGTACACTGATTAAATGAACACGACAGAAACATACATTGACTTAGCAAGTTCTTTCATTTAATGTTTCTCTTCTGTTGTTGTTATGTGTCATCAAGTCAGAACTGACCTAAAATGACCCTAAACAGGGTTTTCAAGGAAAGTGAGTGATTTTACCAGTTCCACTCCCCCAGTGGGTTTCTATGGCTGAACGGGGATTTGAACTCTGTTCTCCAGAGTTCTCGTCCATCCCTCTATTCTCTACACACTCACTTTCCTGGATACCTATGGTTCTCTTCTCCCTAGGACTAAAGAGTGGACTTGGTGGATCCATTTTCATTGTTGTCTGTAACAGAGATAGATTTGTTTTTTAAAAAAAGGAATGAAGGGGAAAAATCACTGCACTGTTTTAGAGCACAACTGGAATGGAGTGGAAAAGAGAACCCTTTAGTTTGAATAAGGAAATGAACATTGAACTCTGGTAAAAGATATCTGCAGGGACTTGTGAGGGTTTCTTTTGCAAGTTAGCGTGCTTTCATTTTATGATTGAACACTGGGAGGTAAACATGGGCCTCATTTGCAAGTTCCATTGCTGAGGCACAGTTCTTTGAAGGAATTGTTTCCCTGGAAGGAAAACACAGTAAGAGCAAGAAATAGGCTCTTAGAATCTATTTCTTTGAAGGTGTTATTTGACGAGAACCTGAAAACATGGCTTGGTTGGTAAACTATGATCATGCTGGCTAGGGGATGCTGGGAGTTGTAGTCCAACAAAATAGCAAAGGCTCTGGATCAGGCCTATACTCTTTCCTCCTATATCACTTTTAATTTATGACTTAAGAGTTAGGTACGAGTCTAATGATTCTGATTGTTTTAAAGTTACAAAAACACACAAATTAATCTTCTTTATCAAGGCTAAGGCTCTTTCATGTGCCTTATGCCAAGCTGCCAGTCTGAACTTTAAAAAAAGAAAGTGGAGTCATGGGAGAGGCTAAATGTCCCCCAAGTCGCCATTGCTCACTCCAGAAAAGAACAGAGGCTTTCTGGATAAACTTGAGGCAGGATCCTAGTTTTATTTACCCAGAGACTAAGTCCTGCTCTTTGCTACAAGTTTTAAGCACTTCTGACTTTCTCCAGATCCAGAAGAGCCTCAGATTGCAACCAGTGAATGACATCTCGGTTAAAGACCTTTCTGTGGGATCAGAAGCAGTTTTGTGTTCAGAACCAGCAAGCTTCTTTTGGCACGTGTAAAATATGAAACATCTCATTCTAGGATGTCTGCTCAAGCCTGGCAGCCGAAAAGGACATACTTTTTCTGGAGTTGACCTAGAAATCTCCAAGCAGTGTCCTCTGAGTTTACAAACAAGATACCTACATTTCACTCACCTAGAGAAAGGCCTACCACTGTGTCTGCATGGCCTTCTCTGCTTTTTTTTAAAAATTATTATTTTAAAGGGGAGGGCAGTTGCTTTGGTCCTTCCTGGGAGTCACAGTCTTTCTGTCCATTAGTCTCTTATAGAGAGGGCACCTCCCAAAGAAATACAGCTCCCAGGAAGCCTGCAAGAGCTTCCTTCCCCACCCCACCCCAATTAACAAGAGAAAAAGGCCAGAGAAGGCCACATAGCTGGGGTTGCCAGATACAGTACACGGGTACTAAAAAGAGGACATAGAAAGACAAAAAGGAGGACAAAGGAGGACATATTGAATGCTTCATTTGAATCATTCCAGATTAAACCCACAATCAATACAATTTTATTACAATAGCTGCCAATAAATGTCTCTTAGTGAACCAACCAAGAAACAGTCATGTTAAAAAATAAAAATAAATTCAATGGAGGCTTTTAAAAAAAATACCAGAAGTGGGCAGGCAGGTGGGGGTGGGGAAAGCCAGGGGGAAGGGGGTCCTTCCACCTCTCCCCCTCCTATCCAAAATTATAACATAAAATATACAAAAGCCTGACATTTTAAAGGTTTTTATCTTTGCCTGCCTGATGGAGGACATTAGGCTAAAAAGGAGGACATGTCCTCCTTTTGCCTGACATCTGGCAACCCTACACATAGCCTCAGAAGTAAGCCCTTCTCCAGATAATGAAAATGTAGGCTTCTAACGTTGTGTGTTTGTGGGCTGAAACTTCCAAAATCCTGCTTGGGAAAGAATTCAGTTCTAGTTCAGGTTCAGCTGCGATCTGAGTCACAGTCCAAGCCAACAAAAGGGTCAGCAACATGTTCAGCATGCCTTCCGGATAACTTCACGAGATAGTATTTTGGGGCAAAGCAGAATCTTGTGACCATGAGAATCGTAGAATAATTGAGTTGGAAGGGTCCTATAAGGCCATCGAGTCCAAGCCCCTGCTTAGTGCAGGAATCGAAATCAAAGTAGAGCTCTCAGATAATTGCCCAATTTTCTTTTGAATGTCTCCAGCTTTGGAGCACTCACCATCTCCCAAGGTAATTGGTTCCATTGTCATACTGCTCTAACAGTTAAGAAGTTTTTTTCTGATATTCAGTCAAATCTGACTTCCTGTAGCTTGAGCCCATTATTATGTGTCCTTCACTCTGGGATGATTGAGAACAGATCCTGCCCCTCCTCTGTATGACAACCTTTCAAGTATTTGAAAAGTGCTATCATATTTGCCCCCCAGTTTTATTTTCACAAGGCTAAACATGCCCAATTCTTCCAGTCTTTCTTCCTAGGGCCTGCTTTCTAGTCCCATGATCATCTTTGTCACCCTCCTCTGGATTTGTTCCAGTTTGTTGGAATCCTTCTTAAACTGTGTTGTCTGGAACTGACCACAGTACTCAAGATGAGTCCCAACCAGTACTAAATAGAGGGGAACCAGTACTTCATGGGATTTGGAGACTAATGCAGCCTAAAACAGGATTTGCCTTTTTTGCAGCCATATCAGAGTGTTAGCTCATATTCAACTTGTGATCTACAACCATTCCAAGATCCTTCCCACTCATTGTGTTACTAAGCCAATATCCCCCATCTTCTAACAGTGCATTTGGTTCCCCCCTCTATATTTAAAACTTTGCACTTATCCCTGTTAAAATTCTTTCTGTTGTTTTCAGCCCAGCGCTCAAGCCTATCAAGATCTTTTTGAATTTTGTCATCCACAAATTTGTCAAGTACTTCCTGAACAACCTCATTCAAATTATTAATAAAAATGATGAAGAGCACAGGGCCCATGACTGAGCCTTGCAGTACCCAATTTGTTTACCACCACCCAGTTTGAGAAGTAGCCGTTGAGAAGCACTCTCTGAGTACAATTCTATAACCAACTGTGTAGCCACCTGCTCTATCTAGGCCACTGGTTCTTAACCTTGGGTTACTCAGGAGTTTTGGACTGCAACTCCTAGAAGCCTTCACCACCAACTGTGCTGGCTGGGGTTTCTGGGAGTTGCAGTTCAAAAACATCAGAGTAAAAAAGGTTAAGAACCACTGAATTCTAGGCCACATCTAGTTATCTTACAAAGCGGAATATCATGGGGCACTCTGTCAAAGGCTTTGATGAAGTCAAGATATATTATGACTACAGCATTCCTACCATCTACCAAGGAAGTTACCCAGTCAACAAATGAGATAAAATTAGTCTGGCTGGATTTGTTCTTGACAAATCCATGTTGGC